TTTTTATTTAAAAATCTTAAATATGAACAGTTAAAATTGTATTTAAACATTATAAATTTTATTACAACGATGGGTTCTGAAACTGATTTTCTTCTACACATGCACGTGTGTGGCAGATCAAGTGTGTAAATACACGCCAAAAGGAGGCCGATCCCCGGGAAGGCGCACACTAAAATTTAGGTACTCCTAAAACAGCAAGATCAGAAGCAACAAACCACAAACTTAAGACTAGGAAACAACAAATTATTGTTAAAGCCCAACGAGAATAACCACATAGAATTGCTGTCTTTCGTCCATGTCCTTCCCCTAATTCCTGTCTCCCTATTACTGCTTTACAACCCCTGTTACATGTTATTTTCGATCTTAATTATAAAACCTCGTTTATAGTCTATAAAAGAGATTTTATAATTAGGACCCAGTGTGGTATAATCCTTTGTGTCTCTTTTGTCTATGTCCTTCTCCTAATTCCTGTCTCCCTATTATGACTTGCTTTACAACCACTATTACATGTATTGTTCTTGTTTCATTTCAAAAAATTTAAGAATATATATTAAAATTTAATTAAAAAATAAAACAATTCATTCAAATTAAAAGGGTTTGGTTGGAAATTTCTCCCGCGGAAGTGGATGGCATGTCCTTGTTCACTAATGCATCATGAATGGATGACCCACAATAAGCCATTGAAAGCAACAAAGCGTACAACCCTATTCCACATTTCCACTAGGTCCAATCAACCTCTCCTTCACAAGTCCCACATCGCAGGATTCCTCATGCCCCCTCCCATGCTTCCCCGTATTTAAAATCATGACGACCGGCTTAAACCATTTAATTCATATAAATACGCAAATAAATAGTAGTATTAAATAGAGCCCATACTTTTTATGTGTTTTAATTAACGGTCAGTATTTAAACATTTATTCTTTATCATCAAGCCATCCCATCTCTGAAGACACATTGAACTTTTAGTTAATTTTGGGTCAAGAGAGGTAGGATTACAAATTAAAGATGACAAATCTCTTCAATGAGTTGTTAAATGTTCTTGTTAATTGGTGCTTTGAATTCATCTTTGGACCGTGGTGCAATTTTGCCTATCAACTCAAAAACAGTGAACAAATCCATAATCCGTAATGAAGGCGTATTGCTCGTTGAGTAAGGCCAGTGGATCCCTCATGTTATGTCACATGTAAATAGATTAAAGGCAAATATGTATATGTGGGGTTAAAGGCAAATATGTATATACAGGGTTAACGTGCAAATTTATTTTAAAAGTTTTCAATTTTAGGTCTGTGTTTGGTATGGAGAAAAAAAAAAAGGAAGGGAGGGAAAGAAAAATTTTTAATAAGCTGATGAAAATAAAAGAAGGGAAAGAGAGAAAAAAATTTTAATAAGCTCGATTTAAAAAATTAAAAAAATAAGGTTAAAAGCTTTTAATTAATTTTTATTGCTCGTTTATATTACTTCTTTTCTTTATTAAAATTTCAAAACCCCACTTCTCCAACTTTTCAAATAGAGCTCATTAAAATTTTCCTTCCCCTCTCCTCCTCTCCATTTTCCTTATACCAAATACTCCTCTGGTCCTTAATATAGGACCTAATTTGTTGAGTTGATTTTGATATTAAATATAAGACCTATTTATCATATTTATTAATTTTTTTAAAATTATCCCTATGGATACTCCATCAACCATAATCAAGTAGAAGAAAGATGGAGGATATTAAGGAAGATAATTATAGTGTTTTGGGAAAAACATGTCATATTTCTTATAATTAACTAACTTACCGAACTTTCTTAATTTAATCAAATTAGTTAAATAGGTTTTATATGGAGGATCAGACGAGTAGTACTTAGGAATGCTAAACATTGGAAAGTTTTTTTTTGTGCAATTTTATCCCAAAAATTTAAAATCGTAATACTTTTGCCTTATGCCATTAAAAAAAACTAACATTGATAATTAAAATAATGACATAGACTATTCAACAAACTTACTCCTTCAGCCCTATTTATAAAACAGAGAGAAAAGATATTTTTTTTAACCTATTTATAGGATACTGAGAGAAATTTTTTGTATGGATATACAATTTTACCCTTCATCTATAATTGTGTTAACTTTATTTATATGAAATATTATGTATATTAAATAAGAATAAAGTTAGAAAGTTATTACATTTTAAATTTTAAATGAGAGTTAATAAAGTTTATAATTTTTTTTATCTATGTGAAATACGTTAGAAATTATTTATATAGAATCTCTGCCCCCTCTCCATGCTGTATTTTGGGATAGCTCGAATCCCATCCCCATCCCTATATTCATCAAGCTCCCCTGGTCAAGCCTTTTAAGTGGGTTGATGCAAAAGGTGGCAGCGAGAGAAAGAGAGAGTCGAGTTAGCACAATTTCTTGACGGGTTATGAATCGAAGTGTGTTCATATGGCTATGAAGTGTGACAAAATAAAATATTTCATTTATACGTAAAGTTTCTGCCAACTGAAACAAATTTGAACATGTTAAAAAATTTTTTTTTGAATATTTGTATTTCCACGTTTTCGTTTTAGGTAAAAGAATCAATACAAATTTTAGTCTTTCAAGTTTATTCTTATTTTGGTTTTAGTCCTCAAATTTTAAATCATAAGTTTTGGTCCCTCAAGTTCCTCTTCATTTAAAATATTGATTCCTTTAATCTAATAAAAACTTAGATTATGTTGTCCCTTAAGGGACCAAAACTTATTATTTGAAATTTGAGGAACCGAAATCAAAATGAGAGCAAATTTGAGAAACCGAAAATTATATTAACCCTATGTAAAAATAAAAATTTAAGTTTTCTAACATTCATGGTCAGTGCTTGTAATATTAACTTGTGCCCCTCGTCGTAATTGGAGATTTTTGCATACTTTAGGATTGGTAGGTGAAATTGCACTATACTCGTATTATAGTACCTTATTAATTACTCCTCCGGTCCTTAATATAAGACCCATTTAACTAATTTGATTAGATTAAGGAAGTTAGGTAAGTTAGTTAATTATAAGAAAAGTGACACATTTTTCCTAAAATACAATGATCATCTTTTTTAATACCCCCTCTCCTTCTTCTATTTGATTATGGTTAAGGAAGTATCCATAGGGGTAATTTAGAGAAAATTGATAAATATGATAAATGAGTCTTACATTTAGGACCAAAACCAACTCAAGAATTGGGTCCTATATTAAGGACCGGAGGAGTATGAGTATTTTTGCTCTTAATTCATTGACACGTGGCACCTACGAGCCTGCCTTAATGGAAATCTGCCCTCTGTTACCAATTGGGAGGGTTTATACTGTTTTTTTTTTTTTTCAAGAGATGATAAGTAAAATTGTACCCTAATATTCTTTAGGATGCGTGCAGCTTCTTCTGAAATATTTTATGAGTATTTTTGCTCTTTAATTTTTTTTTAAAAAAAATATAGGGATGCTTGAATATTTTTCATTCTACTATTTATTATATTCACGTTTTTTGGCATATATCCAACGGTCTTGATTGAAAAATTAGGCAAATTAAATTACTAGCGTATGCTTATTTAATATTAAGAAATGGTTTACTTGGTTGAACTTGGGAAAATGGATTCTATTTTCATCACAGTTGAAACAGTATATTTATGGGTGTGCAGTGTCTCTTTATTATCATTAATTATCAATTAATTAATCTCTTGTATCATGTTCCTCAAGAATACATGGGTGTTACCTTTAATCATAAAGTTTTTTTTTAATTTCATTCTTTACACTTCTATTTACCAGTACTTGTTGGAAGTCATATTGATAGTGTTCCAACAAAATCAAAATCGAGTTAGGTTACAACACATAGATGTTAGGCTGTTGGCCCTCCCTGTTTCACGAAAAAAAAAGAAAGAAAGAAAGAAAGAAAAATAACATAGATGGAAAGTCTTCAAAGCAGTAATAATTTGCCCTATCTATAAGATTTGACTCAAAATTAAATCTTAGTTAAGGAGAATTTCCCATGAAAGAAGAATTTAGATTGCTACTTCTGGTTCTAATTATAAGAGCTAGTTTACTAATTTGAGAAAATTAAGAAAAGAAATTAAGTTAGTTATTTATAATAAATATGTGTTGTCTTTCTTAACATATCCTTGCTAATTAAGTGTACTGGCTATAACTATTATTGTTAGGAGGACTATCTTGGAAAAAAATACATAAATATAAGAGATAAAGTGGATTAGGGTCTTACATTTAATATTAAAATAAAAGTCAAACAAAGTTTTATATTAAGGATCGGAAGTAGTATAATCTAAGGAGAAGAAAAGGTACCTTTGTCATGTGGCAGTCGCCTTCAAGCCTCCGGGTCACCACCAACAGAAGATGTATGTGTATGTGCGGCTTTGTTATTATACACATTGAATGATGCAACCAGCTAGTCCCCACACAGGCGTATAACAATTAAGAATTATGGATACGAAATAACAGAAAAATTCAGTAGTCAGATTAGAGCAGTTAATATGAGGCCTTTTTTGGGGGTGCCGTGATGATCAAACATTTATGTATCAGGCACAAGATTAAGAAACATTTAAACTGTCTACTTTGTAAATATACTAATCTTGTTCAAATGGGGCTAATCCTCTGAACTTTCCCCTTGCTTCATATAATTGTCAGTTTGTTAGAAAAAAGCTAATATATGTGCTGCGCCAACGGGAATGGTTTCAAGAGATTTGTACAATACCTTAAACGGCAAAATCTTCAGCTCCATGACGGGTTCATATGAGGAAATTTCAGTTCTTCGTCAATGGCTCAGAGATTAGAATTAGAAACCATAATTCTGTCTTAAAAAGAAATATATGTAAAAAAGTGGTAGCTGTACAGGTCTCTAGAAACTATAGCTATATATACATATATATGATGAAATTAACGAAGAAGAAAAAGAGGGTTCGTCTGATTTTTGTGGTGAAACAAACAAATGGTCCAAAGTTTGCAACTTAGCCCAACGCCCTTTTCGCCCCATTAATAATCGTTTTCAGAACTTCTCTCTCTCTCTCACTCTAGACTTTTCATATTTTCACTGATCACTAATGCCCTTCGTCGTTCCCCTATGACTACGAGTTCTACAGAAATTAAAATTTATTAAGGAGCTTTTTTTCCCCTTTTATTCATCTGTGGAAATTTTTTTTTAAAAAAAGAAGTAAGTAATAACATTGAGAGAGAGAGAGAAGAGAGATGGCAGATGAGTGCAGAATATGTGATGAATAAATCATTATATATGGATGAAAGATCGTTGTTCACTTTTATAAATACCCACTTCTCTGGCTCCTTTCTTTTATTTTCTGATATATATATCTTCTGGTTCTGATATCTGTAAAAGAAGAGGCAAACCAAAAATTCAAGCCAGAAATCTTCTCTGTTTCCTGCCTTTAATTTATATTCTCTCTTCTGTTTCCTCTCCCTCAGGTTTGTGAACAAAATAATACTGCAACATGATTTCAAATCCATTTTCAGTGCTTCACCTCTTTTGGGTCATTCAATCTTTTTCACCACTCCAAACCCAGATTTGGGAACTCAACAACCTCTGTTACATAGATTGCGCACAAAACTATTACACCAACAAAATGGAAAAAAATTTGGACATGACTAAGGATATATATAAGTGCATGCTGAGAGAAGCATACATAGGGCTTTGTTTGAGAGAGATTTCCAAGTTTTTTCCTCTTGAGATTCTTGCTGAAAGAAACACCCAGAATCCACTTTTTTATTCCTTGACATATTGATTGATGATGGGGTTCACTTGATTTTTCAGGTTGAAATTAAGTAGGAGCGATGGCTTTCCAAAACCAATCCGTGTCAGTTTCACCCCAGAGGAAGACAGGAAGGGGGAAGATTGAGATCAAGAGGATTGAGAACACCACAAATCGCCAAGTCACCTTCTGCAAACGCAGAAATGGACTGCTCAAGAAGGCTTATGAACTATCTGTGCTCTGTGATGCTGAGGTCGCTTTAATCGTCTTCTCTAGCCGCGGTCGTCTCTATGAATATGCTAATAACAGGTACTTCTTTTTTCTTCTTTATTAACATACTCAAAACTTATTTTTTATTTGCCCTCTCACAGCTTTTCTCTTCTGGGAACTCCAGAGATTTTGTTTCCAGTTCCTTGTAAGTTTGGGGCTTATGCTTTTCTTCCTCCTGAAAATTGATCTCTTAAAAGGGTTTATTTTGAGCACAAAGAACACAATCATTTTGGGGATATATATACGAGATAGTTGCTTTTCCTATTTCTATCTCTGTTTTGCTGCAACCCAGCTTCTCTTGTCTTTCTTTCTTCTGTTTTGGCTTTTTCCTTGTATGACCTTATTTTCTGTTTACGATAGTTTTTCTAGTTCTTGGTTTGGTGGATACATAGATCTGATGCAATAGATAGAAATAGAAGCGCTATGGGGGTGTAAGCAGCAATATAGGTGAAAGATTTTGAGGAAGTTATTGTGCGCAGGACTGTGAGATCAGCCACACACACACAAAAACGCCTATATCTCCATTGTTGTTAAATTTTCTGTTTCCTTTTTCTTCTTTCTTCTTCCATTCCTTTCCCCGATTTCTCTCTCTATCTCTATTAAGGCTAAGCTAAGAAAGCTGTCATGCTCCCATTGGGTAGCCCTATGTTTCATCTTTGACACTTCCTTAATACCACGTCAGTTCAGTTAGACATCAAGAAAGACACCGTACGAGATCTCAAGAAATTGTTTGTTTCAACACGTCAATTTTGAAAATACCAGTATTATTAACTATTAACTGCTGAATAAATAAGAAAAAGAGCTCTTTAGGGTTCGTAAATGCGTTTGGCCCCCGTTTCTCTCAAATGCTCGGAACCATCGCAACCAAGATCGGCTCAGACACTCTCATCAAGATAAAGATTTTCCCTATCAAACTCGAACAGAAAATTTGCCCAAATTCTACTTGCACTGCACGTGCAAGATCTGGACATGGTCAAACATAACCCAAAGAAATTAGTTTTTTGCATTATTGTTAGCGACGGGTTTGGGTAACACTTAATCAGGTAAAAAAGATATCTTTTTTTGACTTTGGAACTGATCAAGATTCAAGACTCGGAATACAATCAAAAGGGTATTTAAAAGTTGAAGTTTTTGGTTGATTTGAGTTCGCCTCCTCCTTTTGGAAGTGGGGGAACTTGGGGTATTCTGGTTAGGGTTTAAACGACAAGGGAAACTAGGGATTTTTTATTCAGAATCGAGAGAAAGAATCTTTGGTCACGTCACGCACGATTTTTCAGTTCTTGACCCTCTCTGACAAAAGAGAGTTCATGTCATGATTCCGATTACTGTGGGGTTTCTCTATAATTTCCTCATCCATCTGAACCCTAATTTTTATCTGTTGCACCACCCCCTCACTGAGGAAATATATATATCTTTCTTTACTTCCCAGTTTCAGAGGGTAAAAAAACCCTTTTACGAAGCCAGTGAAAGAGAGTAATGAGCCAATGAGAGTGTCCCAACTTGCTCGTCATAATAATTTCACCCCTGTTGGCATAGCAGACTGGGCTTTGCCTTTGCTTAAGATCTTGCATGGGTATATTTATGCAAGTCTTACCCTCTCAAAGAAAATAGGGTTTTCCTTTTCTTCCTCAGAGAGAGAGAGAGAGAGAGAGAGCCGGACAGGGACGACGTACGATATGATGATGGCCAATGAGAGAATTCTGAGCATTAAGATGCGTACAAACTATTGCTGTCGAGAAACTGACGGCTGTGATGCACACAGACTTTCAGATCGGAAAATAATTTATTTAACAAAATGGGGTTATTTTATATTAAAGTGGGCTTGTTGTCGAGGCGGATGAAAAGATTAGCTTGTGGGTATTATCCTTTGTGAAATGGGTTGCCGCCATCTGGCAGAGAGAAAAGACCCCAGAAATGGTTGAACCAATCATATTGTGGGAACCTGTGCCGACGTGGCGGGAGCACCCAATCACTAGGTCGAGGAAGTTAAGGTATCAGCATTCTATGTAGAGTAAGTTTTAAAAAATGCTCAGTTACCGAAATCTAAATAAGTAAATATTATATAAAATTATTTTTTTATTTTAGCATTTTATTTGCATCACTTCCAATCAGATTGAGACTGACTGAAAGAGAGAGAGAGCAAGCACGGTGCTTCATAAAAGTATTGTTTTACGTTTAAGGTTCAGATAACTGAGCCCGAGAGAGTTGGATGATTTGACCATCAACATGATGGGGGTAACCTTCAGGTTTTAATTATATTATATCATCTTCAATTCGACGAACCAGTCATCATGGAATTCAAAACCATACCTTATAAGGCACAGAAAACCTTTACCTTCTCTCCTAGTTAACTCTCCCTTTTTATGTGTTTCCGAAACAAGAAACAAAGCTTGGACTATTGTCCATTCACCAACTAGATGGTCGCCCATATAAAATGCATCATTATGACGCTTTAAATTTCTGATCAAAAGTCTCTTGACTCCATTACATTCAGTCCCATCAATATGAAGTTTAAGAAACCACACGGAAGTTCAAAGTTAATATATCTCTTAGCTAGTTGTTGTGTTATATTTATTACAATGCAAGTTAGAATTTGACTTATTTTTCAACTGATGCAAACTTCTGTTCTGAGCTGTTTTTGTAATAATTGGTTTAAGATATCAGAACATGGGAAAGGCAAATTAAGAGATTCTCTTTACTTACTATTTCCCCCAATCTGAGCAACATGGAGAGAGTATAATCTGGACTCTCTTAAGAGAGATCAATAAGGATGAATCATTTAGTTTGCGTTGGTATTTATTTAGATTGAGAAGAATAAAGAGAAAAAGAAGGGGAAATTTTGAGCCGGACATGTTCAAAGAGAATTATAATTGGGATATTTTATTTGATATCCTACGTTTAAAATGCAACGTATATTTGGATGAGAAGAAAAAATATTAATTAAATCTAATTTTTAATCGAATAAAATATCAAACTTAGACTTCCATAATTTTCTTCTGACATCATTGACTCAAACAACTGCAACAAATGTGTTTTTAGTTCATGATTAATAACAAAATGCTCTTTTATAGTTTCGACCTTGCATTTCTTACCCACTACTGTAAGAATATTGCTGCTGCAGTTTTATATACAATCATTGTTCATTGTTACTGTTGGAGGAGTCTATATGCCTTGGCTCTTTTATGAATTCCCTCGCTTCAGTGATAAGGTTTTATATGTACATTTTATATTTCATAACTTAGTTTTTAATAAATCAAATATCACCTATATTATTGTTAAACTCGTACATTATTTATTTTTGTCAATGGTTAAGAGTCGTTCATCAGAATCTAGGCAATCGAATTAGTTAATAAATGCTAACACAACAAATGTAATTGATTCTATTGGTGCAGTGTCAAAGCAACCATTGATAGGTACAAGAAAGCATGTTCAGATTCTACTGGTGGATCTACTTCTGAAGTTAACGCTCAGGTACATGTATTATGTCTTTCCTTTTCTTTCTTCACCATTAAATAAATCAGTTTAAACAATATTTGCAGCCATTAATGTCAATGGACTAACGCTTTAGCTATAACTGCGTTCATAATCTCAGTATTATCAACAAGAATCCGCCAAACTGCGTGCCCAGATTAGCAACCTGCAGAATCACAACAGGTAATTTGGATTATTAGTCTTGATGCCCAGATAATTTTTTTTTTAAAAAAAAGGATTAAGAAGTGGGTAGGAAATAATCTTGAACATTTTTATATAGTGTTTGGAAATACTGAGTAGTATATTTTCAGCTTATCGCAGCTGTTTGAATCATTATTAAATTTGCAGGCAAATGATGGGGGAGGGTTTGAGCAATCTGCACTCCAAGGATCTCAAGAACCTGGAGGGAAGGTTAGAAAGAGGGATCAGCAGAATTCGTTCCAAAAAGGTAATTAAAAGGTGCTTTGTATTATTATATATATTCTACAAAAGGAATATATAATAGAATATTCGGTCATTAATTTTGGAATGACTCTTGCATTTGACTAACTAGTTTTCCTTTGTTGCCCTGTCCCACTTTCTCATCATCCATGCCAGAATGAGCTTCTATTTGCAGAAATTGAGTACATGCAGAAGAGGGTAAAATGCTTCCCTTTAATTCGTTCATTCATTCTTCTTTTTAATTTTTCAGCTAAGATTTTAGCACTATTAAGTTTCATTTAGCATGCTGGATTAACGGATTGAGTCAAAAGGCTTTAAAAGGTGAATGAGAGATTACTATTTCGCAGGTGGTTGCCTTATGTTTGGCCTTTATGATCTATGGTTTCCCCCCAGTGTGGCAAAATGCAAGCGTTAAGCCAATAGGCAATAGCTTTATTTGAAACCTCTTTCTTTTTTTTTGGCTCTAGAAAATGGTTTCATGTAGAAAATTCTGTTTCAGAACTGAGACGTAGCTTCCATGCATTGAGGCTCGTATCCACTAAACCAAAGATACTTGTAAGAATTTTAGGCCATGTTTGGTAGGATGGAATCATTTTTTTAGGAAAAGGAAAAAGGAGAGGAGGAGGGAGAGCTTCCATGGAAAAACTATTTTTGGGCTAAAGATGTGATTGGTAGCTAAGAAGAAATCAAGAATTTTTCCCCATTGAAAGTTTAGCATTAAACATATCCAAACTGAGTTTTCAAATACTGGCTACAAGTAAATCATGGAACATGTGTGTCGACACTATTTCAATATAAAATACGACGACAGACATTCTTTTCAGAAAAATGGCCTTTAAATATTATGAAACTTGATAAATATTTTTAAAATTTTCAAATTTTAAATATTTTAAACGATAATAATTTATATTTAACTTTTTTCATTAGTATATTTTTTTGTGTCATCACGAAACCCTTTTATCTGAGGAAAAGCCCGTTTCCATAACTCTACCCAAGTGGAGGAAACCCACTCCCTTTATGTGAGGGAAGTATTAATTCCTTAGAAAACTAATTAAACACTGTGTCAAACATGTCAATATAAGGATTTCTCTATCATTCTCCTTTTCTTGAAGCCCTTACTTTAGGTCTTAAGTGCATACAGTGTTTGTTATGGACATCAGAATGTAGATCTCTGTGTATAGTTTGTCCCTGGATTTGACAATTAGCTAGAAATGATGCTGCGAGGTCAATTCAGCAATGCAAGCACAAATACATACATGCTTGAGCAATTTTAACTTCATTATAAATTCTATGTTGATAATTGATCGGAAGTATATGACTCTAACCGTGTGTGCATGTGTTGTGTGGGAGAACCATAAAGAAGAGCATAATAATTAACTTCTTCACTAGTTTGTGTTAAAAATGCCTAGGATGATACGCTAATAGACTTTGTTAAGGAAAAGAATTAAAAAGATAATAGAGTGTGAGGTTGAAAGATGAGTCTCCCCTCTCTTATTTAGATGGTCTTAATTCAAAATAAAGGTAATATAAATTAAACCCTAATCCTATTAAAGAAGTAGGTTATATATATATATATATATATATTATCCTGCTGGCGCTATTTTTCTCCTCCAATCCCCATTGAAGAATACTACTACCTCCAGTTCTTAATATAAGATCTTATTTGACTTTTATTTTGGTCCTTAATATAAGACCCAAATCCACTTTGTCTCTCATATTTATCTATTTTTTTCTAAGGTAGTCCTTTTAATAATAATAGTTCTAGTCAATACACTTGATTAATAAGGATATTTTAGAGGAAAAAAACAACATCTAATTATTACATATAACTAACTTAATTTATTTTCTTAATCTACTTAAATTAGTCAACTAGCTCTTATATTTAAAACCGGAGGTAGTATTAGTTAGCGCATTTTAAGATCACATATTAACTATAAATACGATATGAAGCTCCCCACCTCTACACTCTATATGTACTGTTCAGCCTCTCCTCAGCTAAAATAATGGAACAAGTTGAGCAATGCCCCAATTTTCCAAGGCGTATTAATACTAACTACCCTGAGACTAACCATTCCTCCCATGTTTAAATTCTGAGAAATTTTTCGTGGTTTAGCACATTTATTACTTCCAGAAAAAGACAACCACTTTTTCCCAATAAAAAGAGAGCTAGTATAACTGAAGTGTACAATGCAGGAAATAGACTTGCATAACAGCAATCAACTTCTTCGAGCAAAGGTCTGTCATCATCTTTCTTCAATATTTCCTACTGTTATTTGATTTGACTTGGTATACAAACCTATAATGAGTTTCATATATACGTATTAATTATATTCTTATATTTGCTGATGGGGGTTAGATAGCTGAAAGTGAGAGGAACCAACAGCAAAACCTGAATTTATTGGGAGCAGGAGGGTCGGACTATGAATCCTTGCAATCCCAGCAGCAATTTGACAATCGAGGTTACTTTCAAGTCTCTGCATTACAACCCAATCATCAGTATCCACGCCAAGACCACATGTCCCTCCAATTAGTGTATGTCTCGTTCATTACGTGCTCTCTATATATTCCCTTCTTTATTTTTATTCTTTCAAGCGAAAGTTTACTTCCACATGCGAACAAATCGAACCCAATAGATTTGTGTGTGTGATTTTTGTTTTCCTTGGGCGGCTGGAATGATTTGTTTTCAGTACATAATTCAAGTTTTAGATTCTGGCAGGGGTTAGAGATAGGATAGGTGCTGTATGAACAGTTATATGGCTTGCAAAACCAAGGAAAAGAAAAAGGAAAATAGTTACCAATTAATAAAAACTCTGTTAAAGTCTTTACGCCGGTTAAGTCCTTTATTTTTTTACATTCAAATTATTTTGTTTCATTCCTGATCGAACGAGTTTCATAAAAGTAAGTCGTATTATTAGGGGATCCGGTTTACTACTTATTAATACTTTTCCGGTACATTATTAGTTAATACTCTTATGATTCTTAATATAAGACCCATTTAACTAATTTGATTAGATTAAGGAAGTTAGGTAAGTTAGTTAATTATAAAAAAAGTGACAAATTTCTCCTAAAACACCATAATCATTTTTCTTAATGCGTCCCTCCCTCTCTTACTTGATTATGGTTGAGGGAGTATCTATAGGGGTAATTTAGAGAAAATTGATAAATATGAAAAATAGGTTTTATATTTAGGATCAAAACCAACTCAAGAATTGGGTCCTATATTAAGGACCGGAAGAGTATTTGTTATCACTGATAAGTTGACATGTTTACATTGTTTGTGCATGCATATATGCATATTTATGTTCCGCTGGACCTCTTAGCCTGAAAAGTTGGTGTTCTCTTGGTCTTTTATAATCTTTGTGCAGTTGATATTCTTGTTGATCAGAAGATGGGCTTGCAAGACTAGATCTTCTTCTTCCGCAATTATATTTTGGAGTCTAGTGTGATAGCAGGCTAATGTTGAAGGTGATAAAAGCAAAACTATGAAGAGGGCATTTCAGGAAACGTTCCCTCCTAATAATTTGTGCTAGCTTTCTGTATGCACTCTCTCATAAACTACCCTATAACATTGCGAAAGGCTCTCTTCTGTCTGTGTTTAAGTAGCTACTATGTGGTCTGAAGAGTCACAAAAAGACTCCTTTGATCTGTGTGTGTCATCCGCTGTTTTGTTTCCATGTTTCCTCTTTAAGATATAAGCCCGCCTGTCCATTCTATCTACAACTTGAGGTTATATATATATATGAAAATCACAAAAACACAGAAAATGCAAAACCCCAGAGCATCAATATAATATGATTACATAGTGACAATGGTAAGCCTGATAATAAAGAACATGTATGTGTGTGTGTGGCGTTGGCAAGTGGTTTACAAGTGAACGAGATGACTGATATCCATTGGGTAAGTGAAGATTGGAAGGAGAGATTTGTAGGCAAAGGTGGCCAAGAACTTATTGACAGCCTCAGTAGGATGAAATGAATCAAAGAACATATTCAGTTTCCTCTCTGCGCATGGTGATTTATTAGGATCACACATCCCATCTGCTCTTACTGGGCAGCAACCAGATTTCCCAATGCTCCTTAAACCTGAAATCCCATGTTCATTCAACCTATCAAAGTAATTTAATATATAAAACGAGTATAGATATATATATCCGCGCACCATCTAAAAGTGGGCTTTTGGATGAGATTAATGCATTGTTGATGTAGATAAATTTGGCATCAGAAAACTCTTTATTGAACTGATCCACGAGTTGTCTGAGCTTGTCATTGAAAATGAGGACTGCTCTGTTCTCCTCTTCAACACATAAAGACCCATCCCCATGATTCATAAGTTCATTTGGAACACATCCCAGAAGGAACAACCCAAACAACGCAAATTTCCTTGATCCGAGTTCCTGCAAAGCCTGCAACACAACAATTAACAGATATATGAAGACCCAAGCTAAGGCAGACAAGTTTTTGTGGAACAGAGAGAGACCTAGAATACATATTGTAAGGAGGGTAGGTACCCTTAAGTGCTGAGAATATTCCTGAATAAGGACTTCAGCGAACTGCTCAGGGTTATAGATGCTGCTTGTTGGGAAGTATTGTGGCAAGAAGTAATTCTGAAGGTAATCATTGCTTCCTATATTCACATAATACAAGCATTTATTTAGGTATTGTCGACCTTTCTCAGGACCTCCCAGTTTGCTTGCAATTTGAGAAACCATGGCTCTATGATTTTCTATCTGCAATTCCAAGCTGATCTTTGCACCCTGCTCATGCATTACCAAAGTAAATGATTCGCATGTCCATTAACTACTCGCTAATGAACAAACTAGCTCATCAAACCATCCTCCAATCAAAAGCTGCTTGGAGTTAGGTTCAAGAGACCGAATCACTGATAACTATAGTTATACCAGATGCGTGCCAGTGTCATTGCGAATTCCAGAGGCCCCAGACGCATAGTTGACACCCTTAAGTATATCTGAATCACTGATATTTGCAAAGGGTGGTATCAAGTTCTCAAATCCCAAACGTTGAGCTGTGATAATCAAACAACTTGAGCCGCAATAACAGAAGTAAACAGAAAATTAATTAAAGAAGTAATTAAAGAAATGAATATTACTGATGAAATCTGCAGTAGTGCGGCCATTGGTGAACCTCCCAGTTGGGCCAGAGGGGAAGTCGATGCCATAAGGAAAGTAATTAGCTTTGGCTGAAGTTAAGAGGTGGTTGTTGTTTCCACTGTCAGATAAAGAGTCTCCAAATATGAAAATGCAAGGTATTTGAGGCTTCCCTTCAACCCCACAGCCATGCTGCATCACTGCACGAAGAAGAAGAACAAGAAGATGAACCACCGACCATGAACTCTTCATTATATCCATCACGAATTGTGGCGTTTAAGACTTCAAGCACGAGAGAGAATATAATTTCGACCATAATTTAAACCTTTTTTATATAGATAATATGGTTTAACTGGACGATTAATTAGTACCTCAAAGTACTCAACCTTGAGAAACTTCCTGCTGCTTGTTAACAAACATCGTAACTAAGTAACAAGTACACTTATCAATTTCTTAATCCTTAAACTTCTAAAACCTTTTTGCTCTATCTCATATTTTATTGAATATTGTGGGGAAGCCATATGTTTCATCTTTTATTTCATTTATTGTGTAGAAGCCATATGTATACCTGGCTAGCTCAGTACTAATGAGGTCTAACTAACATTAACACATAGTTTGACAAATACTACCTCCAGTCCTAATTATAAGAGCTAGTTGACTAATTTGAGGAGATTAAGAAAATGAGTTAAGTTAGTTATTTGTAATAAATAGGTGTTGTCTTTCCTAAAATATCTTTGCTAATCAAGTGTATTGGCTAGAACTACCATTATGAGAAGGACTATCTTAGAAAAAAACTGCATAAATATTAGAGACAAAGTGGATCGGGGGTCTTATATTTAAGATTAAAATAAAAGTCAAAAAACGTCTTATATTAAGGACTGGAGGTAGTATATAACAAGTTTAGGGAAAGCTAGGGCCAAGCTGTTTGTTATTCAGAGCTTGTCACCAAAAAAAAGCTTCATATATAAATGCTTTTTTCAATCTGAAACATAGGATCAAATTGAGGGATTTGCTTATATATATATATACTCCTTCGGTCCTTAATATAAGACCCATTTAACTAATTTAATTAGATTAAGAAAGTTAGGTAAGTTAGTTAATTATAAGAAATGTGACATGTTTTTGCTGAAATACTATAATCATCTTTCTTAACACCCCCTTCCTCTTCTACTTGATTACGGTTGAGGAAGTATCTATAGGGGTAATTTAGAGAAAATTGATAAATATAAGAAATGGGTCTTATATTTAGGACCAAAACCAACTTAACAATTGGGTCCTATATTAAGGACCGGAGGAGCATGTATCATTTAATATTTTCTCCACATTATCTTTAGTAATTAGGATATAATTATTAGAAGATGGTTTAATTTTAACTCCAAGTTTAAGTAGTATCCCAGAATTCTCGTCTCTGAAAAGCTTCCTACTGCTTTGGTTGAGATACAATCTAGAAATCACAAAGGACAGAACTGGGCAGAAGAAGACGAGGCCAAGAAATAATTACAGAAAAGAGAAAAAAGGTAAGAGAAGATGATTCAGTCATCAGCATACCCAATACGCGCAACTGCCATGAGAAGAAAGAGGACGTTACAGAACAAAGTTACAAGAATATCCCTCATTCAATATAGTAAAAGACAGAAATAGCCTTTAATCAAACTAAATTTGCCTAACACGCTTCTTAACAACTTGAATTCAGCATCGTAATTAAGTAACAAGTACACTAATAAATTTCTTAACCCTTAAACTTCTAATTATTTCTTTTTCCCTTCGCCTTTTTAGCATACTAATTAACCAATTTAATTGTCTTGCGCACATCTTCGCCTTCAAAAGAGGACCATAATTATGAACACCAACAGAAAAGAGTAATTTTTTGAACCAAAATATTGTTGGATAACTCTTTTTTTTTTTACATAAAATTAATTAAGAAAATTTTCAATGTTGTTGATAAATCACATGTTTGTATACAAATTAAAATTGATGTGGGTCAGCCCACTTTGTGACCATCCAATAATCAAGCATGCATTGTTCTTCACCTGATGACATGTCACGCACGTGGTAATTATGGTGATATTTCCATATAGAGCACCTACTATTAGGTTAGAAATAAATATGATTAATAGTTAAATACTCCTCCGGTCCTAATTATAAGACCCAATTGACTTATTTGAGGAGATTAAGGAAGTAAGTTAAGTTGGTTATTTATAATAAATAAGTGTTGTTATTCCTAAAATATCCTTGCTAATTAAGTGTATTGGCTAAAACTATCATTATTAAAAGGATTATCTTAGAAAAAATGCATAAATATAAGAGAGAAAATGGATTGGGTCTTATAATTAGGACCAAATAAAAAGTCAAATTGGGTTTTATAATAAGGACCGGAGGAGTAACTCTTTTGACCAAATTATATTGGCGCCGCAACCGCCATATTATTCAAACTCTCACTCTTCATTGGGATTTTCCAAGCACGATGTTGGCCAACCTAACATTTTCTTTCGACACATGTAAACACACAGTCACACACACATATATACGTAGCTCTGTGTGTGGGGGGGGGGGTATCCCCTTAATTTTAGATAAATTGCTTGTCAATGCATTAAAATTTCATATTTTGGTTCCATTTTTGAACCCACAAATATATCAATAAACATGATGGATATTTAAAATTCTAAACCCAGTAAGCTTAATCTCTCATATATAAATATAATTGACTTTGAAGTTTTTCTTTGCATATTTAATATTTTAATTTAGACCCAATAAATTCTAACTTAAGCTAGGCTTTAAGCACTAAATCCAAGATGGCCATATATAATTAACAACCTAAAAACAAACATATTCGTAAGTTAGAATTGACTTTTCTTCTAAGTTATAATTTTAAAAATATTATTCAAATATAATCGATATGTTGTCAAGCAATTATAATTTTTTTAAAAAAAGTCAGAATATAAGTATATTGAAACTCTTATTTTTATATGATTATTCTTTTCAACCTTAATTAACCATTTGTACCGATTAAATTGTTTGTTTATGAATGGCTCTGTTTCTCTAACATCCTTTGATATTTATTTGCATACGAGTTTAAATATACTTATAGATTAATTTCAAAACAGATCAACTTTATCTTAACGTTAAATATATTTTATTCATATAATAAATTTTTAATTTTTTGAATATAATGTTAAACAAATTAATAAAGAAAATTCCGCTTCACCTAGCTGTAAACATCCTCGTTCTACCACAGTGCCTATACAGCATGAATTGAACACTTGTGGAGCGCAATTGGAAATTTGGAATTGATGAACAGTAATGTTAATACTGCTCATACATATTATTCAGATAGAAGTAATATTAAAACCCATACATTTTTATATATGCCGAAGCAATTTGGGTCGAATAGTTATAGGTAATTGTGGGAATTATTAATAATAAGATGATACAGTCATATATATAAATGAAGCGAGGCCTGGTGCTTCTTCTTCGTCACGGGGAGGGATTAAGAAAAATAGCTAAACAGGCGATATCGGCAGGGTAAGTGAAAGCTGGATTTGATGCATTATATGCAGAACTCGCAAAGATTCTGTTGACAGCCTCAGTGGTATGAAACCCATCCCAAAATACGAACTCGTCCCTGTTCTTGCATGGCGTCCCGTTCGCAACACACAGCCCCGTCGACGCCACCGTTTGGCAACAACTTGCGTTTACAACCTTGAACCCTGAAATATATATATATATATATATATATATATTAGAATTATACTATTATTTATATGAAGGGAATAAGAAAAATGGATATATATACTGAGGAAGTCAGGGTTGAGGGAGAAGATGGCAGTGGTGTTGACAAAAATGAAGGTGGGCGGGATTAGCAGGGAAGTCTGAGTTGAGGCGATCAACCAATTGTCTGAGCTTTTCATTAAACATGGAGGCCGCTGTGTTCTGCTGTTGCACACACGAGCCATTATTTGCTGCAGTTACCGCCGGCGCGCATCCGATGGACCCCAAGCTCACCAAAGCAAACTTTCTGCCTCCTACTGCATGCAACGCCTTCCATCCCCAACACAATTACACACACACACATTAATTCCTCTCATTCTTAGAGATTTTGTAGAAAACCATATATGTGTATATATATATATATATAGAGCATGATATGTCTATATATACCCTTAATTGCCGAGAATATTGAGCAATAAGAAGATCAGTGAACTGGGTTAAGTTGTAGATGTGGCTTGATGGGTAATACTGGGGCATGAAATAGTTGTTTAGGTAATCGTTGCTGCCAATATTGACATAGTATAAGCACTTATTTAAGTATCTTCGGGCTGCTTCCACACCCCCAAATCTCGCAGCAATGGCAGAGGCTGTGATTCCATGATTCCTTATCTGTGCGTCCATGCTGATGTCGGCACCCTAATATCCAAATCAAACCGATTGATTACTGATTCCATCAAATCAAAATACGAAGAACAAAAATGAATACCATTTTCTCGCCGGTGTCAAAGAGAATTCCTGCAGCACCAGAAGCATAATTGACCCCTTTCAGAATATCTGAACCTCTTGTATTTGCAAAGGGTGGAATCAACGGCAACCCCATAAGTTCAGCTGCGAATGTAATCACATCAACCATAAATATACGAGTTAGTACAACCTAAAACAAACCATGGTTTTAGCGGTTTTTAAATGTAAAACCGATCAAACATGCTCTAAACTACAATTCAGGATACAGCAATATAATGCATACATGAAGCATGTTAATTAATAATAAGAAATATAGTATATGGTTGGAGGATATAAATGAATAATATAAAAGAGAGAGATGTTAGGTACAGAGGAAGTCGGGGGCAGTGCGGCCATTGGTGGCTCTTCCGGTGGCTCCGAAAGGGAAGTCGATGCCATAGGGAGGGTAATTGTATTTAGCCAAGGTGGGAAGGAGGTTGTTATTTCCATGCTCAGACAAAGAGTCTCCAAATATGTACATACAGGGCTTTCCCTCTGCATAATAAGTTGCAGCCACCGCCATCACCAGCTGCAACATCCAAAATACCTTATTACTCTTACAAATCCCCATCTCTCTCTATTCACTGACATACATACGATTCCTCTAATTTGATGTGTGTGTTGAGGCATATGCATATACACATCTATTTATAGGGCATTTTTGCGAGTGTTGGACTTTAGGATTGCATCATGCGCCCTTGATGGTCGGGTTATTTGATTGGGATTTTCTAAATTTAATTTATTATCCAGTATTTTGCATTAATTGCAAAATTGTTAATTGAGAGGTAAGTAAGGAATATTTCCTCTAAGATATGGAATTGACAAAGTTTACTAAATATGAGAGTTTCCATCTTGTTATTAATATACTACCTCCGATCCCAATTATAAGACCTCGTTTCTATTTTGTAAATGAGTTCTTATAAATAAGACTGGAGGTAGTATTATTCTTCTCACGATGTTTACATTAGTTTCTCCTCCTTCTAACGATTCAGTTTTTCAGCCATTTCCTCCCCCCCCCCTCCCCCTTCTATCTTGTGTGATGCATCCGTTGTGATATTCCAGTTTTTGCTCTGGTAGTTTAAACTCAATGTAGGAGTTTTGGGGATCCGATTCACATTTGCACCCTCATTTAATTTTATTTCATTACGGAGAGGAATCAAATCACAACATTCTGATCTTAGTTTTGACTACGTGATAGAACTTCCGTAAATTAATGAGCACCCAAGGCCCCGATTGGATCTATATAATGTAGGCAAGTTGGCGCGCCTAATTACCGCTTAGTGCCGTAATATCATTAACATATGCTCATTCCGGTAATTTTTATAAAGTCATATTAAAAGAAAATTAATTAAATGTCAAAATTTTAAAAATCGCCCATTGATTTCTATAGTTCATCGGGAGCAACTATGACCTGAATTTTGTTTTTTAAACGCATCATACATATTTTATTAAATCTTATGCAGGAACTTATATTAAAGTTTAATGGATAGGTGTCCTGTGGTAAACAGAATCCCCCCCCCCGGGGGGGGGGGAGTAATTGACAAATATAATATTGAAACTTTGAGCGGTGGTAATAAAGGCTTCAAATATTAAAAGGAATTTATATATAAACTTGAATGGAAGAAACAATTTGCATACTACTCAACATGATCATCAACAAGTTTGACTTTTGAACTCTGCCTCGCTATTTTTTCTCTCAATCTTGCGTCAATATACCATACTCTTAATTATTCTCTCACAATTTGCTCATGGAGATTGTGGCTCCAGGTGCACTTGCTTGCCTCCCTGTACGTCACACCTTACTACTTCTTCTCACCACACGACACTTTCATTATTCTGCACACGCTATTGCAAATTCATATATATATATATATATATATATATGTATATGTATAGTTCGCTCTCTGTTTGTTTTTGTGTTAATGAACATATATATATGTGTATATATTTATTGCGATATATGTTGCCACCACAACATCTGATCAAGTCGGTTTTACAGGCAGATCGGTGCATCGCCCTTAAAGGGTAAACCCCTTGCATGTAGGTGGTGATGAGTTCAATCCAGCACAGAACTGGTTTAGCCACCTTCTAATAGTTCAAGGACAAAAACAATTAAAGGTCAGTTTCATCGGCGGTTCTTTGAATTAGAAAGACAGATTATATAACAGTCTCAAGTTACAAATAGAATTGAACCCGAGATTTATATCACTTATAAGTTGCAAATTAATAGATGAAACCTGTTGTTAAGAACAATTAAGAATTTTATCCAGTGGAAGGAGTAAAAAGTAATAAATATAATCATACATATAAGTGTTGATTATTTATGCTTATTGTGGTAATTAAAATAGACAGATATATGATGAAGCGATACAATTGGCGTTCATTGTGATGAGGAAGAGAGCAAGAGATCATTGATATCCATAGGATAAGTGAAGGCTAGATTTGATCCGTTATATTGCTGATAGTGCAAGGATTCTGTTGGCTGCGTCTGCATTATGAAAGCCATCCATAAATACATATTCTTCCCTGTCCTCACATGGCATCTCGTTTTTAACACACAGCCCAGTAAACGACACCAACTTTCGGCAACAAGAAGACTTCTGAACCTTCAATCCTGAAATAGAATAAACATACATGTCCACAGGCACATATTCCCCAACTCATCATTAGTACAAGATTAGAAGTTTATATGTACGACATTAATGTTTTAATATCTATATATATGTACACATACACACCCCAGAAAGTGAGGGTTAAGGGTGGTGATGGCGGTGATGTTGACGAAAATGAAGGAGGCGTCGCCGGAGAACTGTGAATTGAAGTGAGAAACCAGTGATCTGAGCTTTGAATCAAACGTCGAGGCGGCTTCGTTCTGCTCTTGTGCACAGCTACCACACTTGCTAATTTGTCTTGGAAGGCATTCTATCTGCCCCACTTCAACAACCGTCACCTTTCTTGCCCCTAGTTCATACAAATGCTGCCCCCACATATTGACAATTATTACTCATTGAATTCTTATTCACCCGTAGAAGTTAGGTAATTAATTTACAAATAATAAAAAATTAGTTAAATTAGTTATTTATAAAAACATGAATTAATTTTCCTAAAGTGCCCTTTTAAGCATTTGCATTGAAAACCATTATTTTTTTTTTTACCCAAAATCAACATGAAGAGTTTAAGTGAAAAAAATCAACCATTATTTTCTTGCCCTGTTCAAGTAATCATTGCCTCCAATATTGACGGAATATAAGCACTTCTGCAAGTATTTCTGGGCCGCTTCAATGCTCCCAAGTCTGCCTGTAATAGCAGCAACTATGACTTGCTGATATGTTATCTGTGATCCCATGCTGATATCAACACACTGATATATACAAAGGAATTCGTTAATATATAATTCCCATTAATAAAGGGGGGAAAAAAATGAAACGCCAAGTTGATGAATATAAATATATAAATATAGTTGCATATTGCATGCCGGCCTCTGGCAGAATTCCTGCAGCACCAGATGCATAACTAACCCCTATAAGAATGTCTGAACCACTTGTATATGTAAAGGGCGGAATCAAGAGATTGAGCCCCACAAACTTAGTTGTAAAATCACCTAAAATTGTTAGTCTAATAAGTAGAAGCAATATGTTTAGTGAAATGAGTGATATAGGAAGGAATATTACTGAGGTAGTCGGGGACAGTGAAGTTATTGGTGAACCTTCCGGTGGCGCCGCCGGGGAAGTCAATGCCGTAGGGAAAGTAATTACATTTGACGGCGGTGGGAAGGTTGTTGTTGATGCTGCCATTGTCAGAGAAGGAGTCGCCAAATATATATGAAGAAGCAAGGCACTTGAGGATCTTCTCTTGCACATGTTTGCAGATAATAAGTTACAGCCACCAGCATCTGCACCAACCTCCGCATACACCGACTATTCTCACTCTCCATATTGAGACAACGATATTAATTAAGAGTGATATTTGATTGAGGCACGAGATCACATGGGTTTTTCCGTGTAAGGCGTGTACGTTGTTTATATAGTGTAATTTGACTTGTTGGTTTATATCTGTCATGAACTAAAATATCAGCTGCATTGTTCACAAGTAATAAGTATGGTAGCTTGTTGATGTATATGTCATGAATCTCATTCATATTAGGGAGGTCACCTTAAGATAGTGGCCTAGACTCTCCAACTTTAATGGCTAGCATTTGGAGTGTGATTTTCTTAAGAACTTGTACTCATTACAATAGTACTTCCATTGAGCGCCGGCTAACTAAGGAGGGCTACCTATAGAGGGTTCTAATTACCAAGAAGCTAAATGGAGTGTCATGGTGAGGGGCTACCGAAATGTCACCTCTCAAGTAGGGTGCATTGTCATGAGTCCCGTATTGAAAAGGTTCCCTTGAAGTAAGGGCCTTATATAGAAGGCCTTAAGCTCTCCAATTTCAATAGTTGCCTTTTGGGAAGTGTTTCTCCCAAAAACTTGTGCACGTTATAATACACTCATCAGTTTAACTAACTTTTGCTCACTAAGCATTAACATGCAAAGTTCTCGTATGGCAGCTAAATTTGTACTCACGATCTTGTAGGTTTTTTTTAGTCAACTCTTTACCATAACTGAACCAACCTTTGTTAGCAAAACAAGTTACTTAGAATCTTATCCTAACTTTAATCTTTCTTATTCAGAAAGACGAAACATATATATAATATGAACAATTTAGAAAATAATATACATATATACATATATATGTATATATAATTATAAATAACTATGGGATCTCTGGTAAATAATTGTCACCTTCTCATTAATGATGTTACAATGGAAGCAATTTTTTTTAATTATCCTACATTCATGCGTTGGTTTATGATTTCTGATTGGATTATTTGATAGATCAGTTTGGGTTGTTATTCATTGATTAGTATGTAGTAATTAAATATGGCTGGTATGCTGGTGGGTATAGTTTATCGTCTATTAATGAGTTTGTTAAATATTCTTGGAGTGGTTACATTTTCTTTGCTATAAATACGTGGTGAGAATTCTCTCTCTGCTGGTCTTTGGATGGGGGTTATTTTCTTTTTTCCCCCGTATTCTTGCCTCTTTTACCTTTGGTTTTTACTACTACAATATTAATAATTAATTACTCTTCTGGTCCTATTTATAAAACATTTTTAACATATTTCACACAAATCAAGAAAAATTATAAACCGCATTAACTCTCTGCTAAAATATAATAATTTTTCAACCTTATTCCTATGTAATAAATACGCTCTTAAAAAAGATAATTATCCACATTCTAATAAATAAATAACAAAATAGTACATCCATGCTAAAAATTTAATAAAATCACCTATAAATAGGATCAAAAAATTTTCTCTCTCTTTGTCCTATAAATAGGACCAAAGGAGTATAATACTAGGATACGAAATAATATACCCATACAGGTAGACGACGCCGTTTTACGATTCAATCACTTGCGCACGTTTTGTTGGGCTGCTTCAGCTGTCCCACGTATGCTCGTGATAGCAGCAAATATGGCTTCGTGATTTGTTACCTCAAGACCTTAATGCAAATAATAGTATTCCCATAAGATCCAAAGCATCTGTTAAGTGTTTCTTAAACATGAAGTTGTGAATTTGAATTCTGTAGAAGATATAATGGATCTGTGAATAATAAAAAAAATTAAAAACAAAAACAAAAACATGATAGAAATGTGCGCTCCAGCCTCTAATAAATAGGCGAATTCCTGCTATTATCATCTTTAATTAATTAAGAACTTCTGAAGCACTTTGTAATTTGTAAATTCCTTATTTCTTAAGCTTCTTAAAGCTTTCTTCTTTTATTGTCATTTCCGCACTACCTAACTAATTTCATTACGCATGTCTTCGATCGCAGTCACAAAAAGAGAACAACAAAATGTACAACTGCTCCCTGCTTCATCTGCAAGCAATCTTATTATTAACTAGAAATTTCTCTCTTGTGCGATGCACGAACTAGAATATTTGATTAGATTTTAAATTCTAATCAATATTCACTTTTTATAGAAGTGTGATTTTTTTATTCATTCAAATGAAATTTGAATTAGATATACGGAATTTAGAAGAAACATATGAAAATTTAAATTTATTTATTTATTTATCCTTTTAGGCCCCAATTGACATACTATTTAATTATGATACTTTCTATTTAATTCAATATATTACATCTCAATTAAGATATTGTTCAAATTCAAAATTAATCATTAGTTTCTTCATTTGAGCATCCAATTAAAATTTTATTTAATAATAATGTTTCTCATTTAATTCAATATACCCAAATTCTAATCAAAGTATTATTCAAATATCATTAATTAATTAAATATATTCAAATCTCATAATGTCATACCCAGCCGTTTTTAAATGAATTGGGTATTACAAGTTTTTAAAAATATAGTTAATTGATTGATTGATTTCTAGATCACCTCCAACATTTAACAATTTAAAACTAAGACATTCATATTTATTTAAACAATTTAATTTCTGGATCACACACTTTTAGTTATATTGTCAATAGAATTAAAACATATACCACCTAAAATTATTTTAATTCCATGATAATTAATTTCTTTCATAATGGCTTTGCAATTAACGGCATATTGATTATTAATTAATCTCTGTGAACCTTATTTCATGAGGGTTAATTAAATTCCTTGGATAACAGAACAGGAAATAAAGACTGTTGGAATGAAAACAGCTGGAAGATGAATAGAAATAATGCTCATATTACTCTTTCAGTCCTTAACGTAAAAGCTAATTAACTAATTTGAATAAATTAAAGATGTTAATTAAATTAGTTAATATGATATTTTTTAAAAAATGTCTTAAACATCTGTCTTAAGTTTCTTTTCTCCTTCTCTTATTTGATTATTGTTGAGTGAATATTAAAAAGGTTAGTTTAAGAAAAAACTAATAAACATGTGAAATAAGTCTTAAATATAAAACAAACATCAACTCTCTAATTAAGTCTTATATTAAGATTTAGAGGAGTATATAATATTATGATATATTTGAAAAGATAACCCCATACATATATATGCCGAAGCTAGACGGGTTGATTATTTATGCTTATACATATACACATACATAGTGGTACCACCATATATGTGCGTGTGTGTGAAGCAATACACACCCACACACACGTATATATATGTTGTTCAGGAGGCCGGCGACGGAGTAGGTCAGGAAGAAAGGGAGAGAGAAAGTAAATGGGTGATATCCATAGGGTAAGTGAAGTTTGAATTTGAGGCGTTAAATTGTGAGAGTGCATAGATTTTGTGGGCAGCGTCAGTGGTATGAAGGCCATCCCAAAATACGTAGTTATCCCTGTCCTGGCACGGCGTCACGTTCTTAACACACAGCCCAGTAGACGACACCGTTTTGCAACAAGAATCGTTCTTATTCTTCAATGCTGAAATGAATATATGACCAGTAAATATTATTACTAGCTAGTCTGATGATATTTTGTTTATCACTATCATCTAACGTACGTAATTAAAATGAAGGAATTGAAGGGGTAAAAAATGGATACGTACCCAGAAAGGCAGGGCTCTGGGAGGAGATTGCAGAACTGTTGACCATTATGAAGGAGGCTTTACCATTGTACTCTGAATTGAGCCGATCAACCAATGATCTCAGCTTTTGATTGTAACATGGAGCCTGCTGCGTTCAACTCTTGTACACACTCACCATTTGTGTTTCTTTTCCTGGGAACGCATCCTATAGGCCCAAGTCCAACCAAAGCAAATTTTCTCGCCCCTACCCCATACAAAGCCTGCACATGCATGCCCCTGGCTAAAAGATCTCACAAATCTCTGACGCATGCAGGAAAAAGAAAACGAAAATGCAGAAAATAACAATGGCGGATATATGTACAGACCTTAATTTGCAGCGCATATCGAGCTATAAGATCATCAGTAAACGTGGTTAAGCTAAAGAAGGGCTTGAGGTAGTTGTCGAAATAATCATTTCGGCCTATATTCATGTGATATAAACACTTGCTCAGGTATTGTTTAGCTGCATCAACACCTCCAAGTTTAACAGCAACGGAAGTAAATATGAGTTTGTGTTTTGTTATCTGTGAGCGCAGGTTCAAACGATCACCCTGACATATATATTAAAGAGGAATCATCAATATATAATCCCAATTAGTAAGCTTACGAAAAGAGAAAACCAAATGAAACGCCAAGTTCATGAATATATATAGAGTTACCTGTAGGATGCCGGTGTCATCGAGAATTCCTCCAGCACCAGATGCATAATTAACCCCTTTAAGAATGTTTGAACCACTTGTATTTGTGAAGGGTTGGATCAAATCCACCCCCATGAACTTGGCTGAAAAATCACCTAAACTTTTAGTCTCAACGTACGCATAACAAAGTGGCAAAGTTAAATATATATGGGGAAGAAATATTACCGAGGTAGTCGACGGAATTGAAGTTATTGGTGAACCTTCCGGTGGAACCGCCGGGGAAGTCAATGCCGTAGGGAAAGTAATTAGCTTTGGCCGTCGTCGGAAGGAAGTTGTTGTTGCCACTGTCAGAGAGAGAGTCCCCAAATATGAAGAAGCAAGGCGCTAAGGAATCAGCTCTTACACAATTTTGCAGATAAAAGTTGCAGCCACCAACAGCTGCATCATCGACCGCTTATACTTAAGAAGTACTACCTCCGTTCTTAATATAAGACCCCGTTTGACTTTTAGTTTGGTCTAATTATAAGACTCCAATCCATTTTGTCTCTCATATTTATGCATTTTTTCCAAGATGGTCCTTCTAATAATTATAGTTCTAACCAACACACTTAATTAGCAAGGATATTTTAGGAATGACACACTTATTTAGTTATTTGTTACAAATAACTAACTAACTTACTTCCTTAATCTCCTCAAATTAGTCAATGGGTCTTATAATTAGGACTGGAGGTAGTAATATATATGGTCCAGACCGACCGGCTTCATGACTTTGGCAAGAATCAATTTCGCACATACACACATAATAAGGCTTTGCGTCCAATTTGTATATTGGCTGAAATTAAAAAATTTTAATTAAGCAGGACAAATGCAGAAGGATATAAATAAAATAGTTGAGCAGCAATAATAAAAAGTAACACTACCTCAATCCTAAATATAAGACTCATTTCATTTTTATTTTAGTCCTAAATATAAGACCTCAATCCACTTTGTTTCTTATATTTATTATTTTTTTAAAGATGGTTCTTGTAATAATATTAATTCTAACCAATATACTTGATTAGCAAGAATATTTTAAGAAAGATAACACATATTTTTTACAAATAACTAACTTGACTTATTTCCATAATCTACTCAAATTGGTCAACTAACTCTTATATTAAAACTGAAGGTAGTATCTTAATAAAAATATAGGTCTCGTTTGATATGAAGGATTGAAAATAAGGGATAGGAATTAGGATTACAATTAAAAAAAATTATTAATAAAAGTCTTTAACATGAGTAATTGCTTGTTATATAGGATTAGAAAAACTCATAAAAGTAAGATTGAGGAATATCACTTCCCTCGATAGTATTCCTCAATCTCACATACATGAGTTTGTCTAATACCATGTAACAAGTAATCTCCCATGCTAAACATTATTTTCTCAATCTCAATCTTAATCTCTATTTCTCATTTTCAATGCTTCATATCAAATGGTGTCATAGAGTGAAGATATGTGAAAGAATTGAGTGCGGCATTCCAATATTAACAAAAGGCGTAAAAATGTAGTAAAAGGGTGTTTGATTTTTCCCAAAAGTGCTTCTTAAAAGTATTTTCACACAAATTAAAATAAAACTCCTCTCACATATTTAATTTATATATTATAAAATTATTTTTAAAATTATGGTTTAGTTTTTATCTAAATACCCCTAAATTTCATTTACAGGAAGGAAATAATAATTACTCTTCCTCCTAACTCCATCCCTTTTCTCCAACCACAAATAAAGAATGGGCCTATTGGTCTCAGGAATTCGGCCTGCCCCCGGCCACAAACCCTTTGCCCTTGGGCACGCCCAACAATCTTTTTCCCAGTGAGGAGTTAATGTCAATCAATAAATTAAACATTTTCATAACATGTATTATTTTTTATCAAAATTTTCAAAAAAATTATTTATATGAAATTATAAATGATGGAAAGAATAGATAAATTAAGTGATATAGATTTATTTTTATTATTTAATTTGAATATGATAGTATTGCAATCAGTTTAATTATGCCAAACACAACTTTTTGGAGTACTGTAGCAAATAACATTTTTCAGATTATAAAATTATAAAATTATTCCAAAAATATATCTATGATAAACGTTACAAATAAAAAATGTACACTAACAATTGGCTTTCTCTCCATTTTAATATCGGGTCCCTTCCTATTAAATAATAAAAATATCTTGATATAGATTTAAAAAAAAGTGGAAATATGTGAAAACATGTTAAGCTGAAGCATAAAAATGTAATAAATGATTTTAATGAACCTTTGAATAATTTATGCCATTTGCGAATTTCAGAGAGGGAAATGGGACTAGACGAATAGTTGGCTAGTTACAGCCTCTGCCTTCCTTTTTTTTCAACCTATCACTAATCTCTATTAATTAAAAGTAAATATCAATTAATAACTATTTGAAAATTGTATGGTAATCTCTAAGCTTATATGGTGAGTTGACATATCAATAACTTTATATTTTTGAACTTTCTTAAAATACTACTATCTCTAATCTTTCATATAAGTCCTGGTTTGATTTTTATTTTAATCTTAAATATAAGACCCTAATCTATTTTATTTCTTATATTTATTTATTTTTTCAAAATAATCTTATAATAATGATAGTTCTAACTAATAAACTTGATTGCTAAGGATATTTTAGGAAAGACAACACTTATTTATTACAAATAACTAACTTAACTTGTTTCCTTAATCTACTCAAATTAGTCACCTAACTGCTATATTTAGGACCGGAGCTAGTATTTTAAAAAAATATACTCTTCTTCCAACACTCTCAATCCCACAGTCGCACAGTGTCTCAAATAATTTTATTGAAAACAATTGAATAGTTGGCCAAAAAAACAAAGGAAAAAAAAAAAAAGCAATAGACTGACATGATGCTCACGTAATAATTTCTCCGCGTTACAAGCATCATCAAATAATGGCGACACATTTTGATCGTATCCCGCCAAATTGGCGTCTCCATTGATGACATGTCTTCAGATCTGAGCTAAGCGGCGAATATCAATCGGGTAAGCGTCAGATGCAGATTGGGCACTGTAAGCTCTGCTTGCAATAATGGCGTTTCCCGCCTCAGTCGGATGGTAAGCATCCCAAAACAGGTACTCTCTCCTGTTCTCGCATGGAATTTGCAAAGGCAAACATGTAATTTGACCGTTGTTTCTTCCTACCCCGCAGCACCCAGCATTAGTGACCTTAAAGCCTACAAAAAATTATGTCCAGATAGAGGAACAAACCGATGAGTTGTGCAATGTAAAGTGACGCGATTCACTAGAAAGTGACGGAAAGTAAGAATCGAAAATGTTCTTGAGTGGAGTGTGGTTACAGTAGGCTGAAGGGTTGTTGATGATATCTTGAAAGATGCCATAAGAATTGATGTAGATAAACCTTGCATCTGACAGCTGCTTGTTGAGTTGATCAACGAGGGATTTCAATTTGTTGTTGAATATTTGGTTCGCAGAATTGATTCTTTCAACACAGGTTGTGCCATCTTGGCTATTCTGGGCCAATTCATTGGGGCTGCATCCTATCTGCCCAATCCCAAATAGCACCATTTTCCTTGCTCCATAGTTATACAAACACTGAAAAACACAAAAGCTAGACAGTTCACCTTGTAATTGAAAATCTGAATTTTTCAAAAATGGATGAAACAGGGAACTTTGGACTAACCCTGAGTTTCTGGGCATATGATTCAATAAGAACATCAGCATACTCGACTGGTGAGAACTGCCTGCTGCTGGAATAGAGTTGAGGCATGAAATAGTTGTTAAGGTAATCATTGCTACCCATTCCTATTGAGTATAAGCACTTGCTTAAGTAATTTGCAGCTGATTTCTCGTCTCCCAGCATATCTACTATTTTTGCCACCGTGTTTTGGTGATTCTGCACCTGCCTACTAAAGCTGATGCGCATTCCCTACAAACAAGAGAAGATTTTTACCCCAACAAAAGAGGGGGAGGGGGGGGAGATTATGGGAAATCAATTAAACGTGACCAAATGAAGAGTAGAAGTGATGATGTCATAGCCATAAAAGCTAATAGTTAAAAAAAAAGAAAAAAAAAAGAAAGAAAGAAAATGTACCAGATGTTGTCCAGTTTCCTCTCTAATCCCTGCAGCTGCGGAAGCATAATTGACTCCTTTGAGTATGTCCTGGCCTCTGATTGTAGCATAGGGACGTATGTAATCATCGAGCCCCAAGAGCTCAGCTGTAAGTTTTTAAACAGTAAGTTGGATGACGGAGAATATTTCCTACTTTCGGTGAATTCAGATCTTGTTGTAAACATTTTCTGCTTTGTATTAGAGAAAAAAAAATGGTAAAATTTTTTCTGCTGGTGCTGTTTTACTTTACCTTCCTTTCTCTGTCCTTTTGGCTTTTAGTCAATGGATGAATGGAACATTAAATGTCACAAACGAACTCCAAGAACCATATGACAGTGAAAATCATGTCTTGGAATCATGAGGCACACACCTCAAAAAGAGCAACTCAAATGACAGTAAAACCAGGAGACGTTTTCTAGATGGACAATTGTGTTTCTATGTATTTACAAACTCCATTTTCCGTGTAATCTGAATGTTAGCATGATAATTGTCATCTATTTGCTGGTAACCTGAGAGCTTAAGCAGTATATTAAGGTCCTAAGGATCAGGTAAAAACTCTCCTACTATTTCAGTGAACGATGATGATTAGAGATGAAGATAAAGGCTGAGAATTGCGTTCATGAGAATTACAACCGCATGCAAGGAGCACTAATATGACTTCTCAGCATCAAGTCCACAAAGCGTTCATAGCTGAATTAAGAGAGTGACTAGAATGTAAAGTGAAATTTTTAGTATAATGACTTTTTTTTGAGCTAATTAAGGTGATTGAGAGGGCAAGCGCACCAATTACATCGACATTAGTTTTCCCATTGGAAAACCTTCCAGTCGGTCCACCATTAAAGTCAATCCCATAAGGCAGGTAATCAGCTCTAGCCAAAGATTGCAGCACATTGTTATTCCCATTATCCACCAACGAATCCCCGAAAATGAAGTAGCAAGGTACTTGCGGTTTAGCTCCAACCCCACTAAACAAAGACAGAAACACCCCCACAGCCACCGTGCTCATCATCCACTTCCTTAGGAGCTCCTTAGCTGCCATTGAAGCAAGAAATGGAGAACAAACAATAGCAAGTAGTGGGAGTGGAAGAGATGGAGAGAGGTAGTGACCTTAAGTAGGCAGATGTGTATGGGTGCGAGGGAATAAGGAACTTAAAAAGCTACGCATATATAGAAGGTCTTGGCTAGGGCCATCTTTAATTGCTTATACGGTTGGGAGTGTTCGTTAGGACCATTAGCCGTGGGAAACAGCTGCAGCACAGTCACCTCCTTCATCTAATCTAATGTGTTTTGGCTTCGCCCTGACATGTATAGTTGTGATTTCCAGTCAAAGGTATCATGAGGATTTGAGCAGAGACACAACATGACAATCCAGTTCTGTGCGTAGCAGCAGAGATGTGTTCAGTAATGTACATGAGCGCCATCATATCATTTTGTCCTGCATTGGCATGAAATGAAATTGTCTGAGTTCAGCTTTTTCCTGGAACTGTGTTATTTCTTCTGTCGCCTCAAAAGATAGATAGATCATTTATGTCAAAACTCAGATTCCATCAGAAAACATTTGGGTAATGTGATGGTATGCTATTGTCACACATGTTTGGCTTCATCCTGAAATCAAGCACTGAAATTACCAATATGAAGTCGTTGGGGAGTGATCTGACAAAATGAAGGCTGGATTTTATGCATTATATGCAGACATTGTTATGATTCCGTTCACAGCCTCTTGGGATGAAAGCCATCCCAAGATACGTACCAAGTCCCTGTTCTGCCGCAGCGTTTCATTTGGTATGCACAATCCAGCAGGAGCAGATTAAAAATGTGTACAGTATAAAGTTTATATAGACAATTAAGACAATAATGTATAGAACTCATATACTACCTTCCGTTCTTAGTATAAAAACTAGATTGGGTTGAATTTGATGCTAAATATAAGACTTCGATTTATTTTGCCTCTCATTTTTTTCTCAAAATATTCTTATTGATCATAAGAAATTCCCACCAAAGAATAATTGCAAAGAGGATATTTTAGAGTGACCAACACATATTTGTGACAAATAACTTAACTAATTTTTTTAATATCTTCAAATTAGTTATCTAACCCTGAGGATATGATGCAGTATAATATACTAAGAAAACGCTTCCGGCTCATATTCCCCTCCCGAGTCCCTTCTGCCTCTGCTGCTGCTACAGCAGCGTAGCTAGTATATGACTCCGTATTGGACGACAAGCGTTTTAAACCTTTTTTCCTTTCTTCATCAATTTTCAGTTGCTGCGTTTCCTTTCCAACCTTGAATCCTGAAATTTATTCCTTTCTTCATCAATCTGTTATCTATTCCTAGTTCGCAAATGCGTTTTCCTCTGTTGCTGCATGGCGTAGCGATCCGCCTTCTTATTAGGCAGATTTTTTCCCCCTCTTGGACGGCCTCGCTTGTTAGGCCGAATCAGCCCATTTTGTAAATTAAATTCACCGTTGTTAGCTTTCTAGTTTCTACTACTCGAGAACATTGGACCGGAATAGATAGTCTCCTTGCAAGGCTTGATGTGCGTGTGCGCGCGCGTGTAACTTTAAAATAAATTTAGTAATCAGGAAGTTAATCAGCATTAGAATAAGATAACAAAAATTAATTTTTCCATTCATTCAATAATATATTCAGTTTTAAAAATATTATTTTCTTCAAGAACTTCAACATTTATAGACAAATTTCTAATTTCTAATGAGTAATGACTGTCTTTGTATTCATATCTACACGGGGGGTTCCTATTCGATTTACTTATTTTAATCGGGGGCGTCGCATTACAGTATAGTTTCTCTTAAAGAAACAGGTCTATAAGTATTTTTAATAAAATTTAATTAATGAAAGACATACAATTATAATATTTCTGCATGGATATTTAATTCCAAGTCATGCAAAACTTATGACAACTACACTTGGAATGCGGACCCATAAACATTTAAGATTTTCATGTGCAGAAAGAAAAAGAGCAGACATTATCTTATGTTACATTCAAAAACTACACACCACATTCATACTCTAATAATTGCGACCCATTTAGTGACCCACACCAGCTTGGCGTGTCCATCTTCAGATCTGAGCTAAGCGGTGGATGTCAATGGGGTAAGCATCCGATGCAGATTCTGCATTGTAAGCTCTTCTTGCAACAACGGCGTTTCCAGCCTCTGTTGGATGAAAAGCATCCCAAAACAGGTGTTCCCTCCTGTTTTGGCATGGAGTTTGAAAAGGCAGACATGTAATCTGACCATTGTTCCTCCCTACTCCGCAGCACCCAGCATTTGTAACCGTGAAGCCTGAAAATTTATGCCCAGAGAGGTAGAAATCGATGAGGGAGTGTACTATAATATGATGGGATTCTCGAGAAAGTGAAAGAAATGTTCTGGGGCGGAAGACTAGACTAGTTACCGTAGGCTGTAGGGTTGCTCATTATGTCTTGGAAGATCCCATAAGCATTGATGTAGATGGCCCTTGCATCTGTAAGCTGGTTGTTAACCTGATCAACGAGGGATTTCAATCTGTTGTTGAATATTTGGTTTGCAGAATTGATTCTTTCAACGCAGGTTGAACCATCTTGGCTATTCTGGGCCAATTCATTGGGGCTGCACCCTATCTGACCAATCCCAAATAGCACCATTTTCCTTGCTCCATAGTTATACAAATTCTGAAAATCACAGGAACAAAACATCAGTTCAGCTTGCAATTGAAGATGGGCTTGTTGAAGCTCTGCGTTTGGAACAAGGGGAAGAAGCAAAAGACAATAACTTTGGACTAACCCTGATTTGCTGGGAATATGCTTCAATAAGAGCATCAGCATACTCGTCTGTGGAGAATTGCCTGCTACTGGAATAGAATTGAGGCATGAAATAGTTGTTAAGGTAATCGTTGCTACCCATTCCGATTGAATATATGCATTTGCTCAAGTGATTTGCGGCTGCGTCCTCGCTTCCTAGTAATTCTACTACTTGAGACACTGCGTTTTGGTAATTCTGCACCTGCCCACTAAAGCTGATACGCCCTCCCTACAAATAAAAGATTATTAAAGGAAATTAATTGAATGTTACCATGTGAAGAATAGAACTGGTCACATAGCCGTAGAAGCTAATAGAAACAATACCAGCTGTTGTCCAGTTTCCTCTCTAATCCCTGCTGCTGCAGACGCAAAATTGACTCCTTTGAGTATCTCTTGGCCTCTGGTTGAAGCATAGGGAGGTATATAATCATCGAACCCCAAAAGCTCAGCTGTCCAATTTTCAACAATAAGTTAGACAATAGAAAAAACTTAAGCATCGAAAATGCAAACTACTGCAATCCTTTCTGTATTTTTGACCACCCTCCACCTATTTGAATAAGGAGGAAGGGTTGAACTGCTTTGTTTTTTGGCTCTTTTGTAATGATTTCCAGTTTCAATTCCAAAAAAAACAATGCAGACTATTGCATAATGTTGGGTTTCAATCTAGTAGTAAAGTTATTCTGATGATGCAGTTTTTCTTTACCTGCTCTTTTTCCCCTTGGCCTTTTTAGTCCATGGAATATTAAGTGCCACAAGCAAACCCATGTGCTTGGAATTAAAGGGAGGCACACAACCCAAGAAGAGTAACATTTTTTCCTTTTGGTTACAGAGAAGTGTAGCTAATAAAGAAGAGTAGACCAGAAGTCGTATTCTAGATTTATAATTTTGTTCGTTTGTATTCACAACCATATTCCTCGTCCGAATTTTTTAGATCGGCAAGAAGGAATTTGCTCCTTTGGAGCCTTGCCTTGTGATAAAATGCCTAGTGGCAGGTATTTTTATCTGAATTTAACTTGATAATTGTCATCGAGTACCTATTAACTTTAGAGCTTAATTAATAGATAAAGGGCCAAGTAAAGATATTTCGGGGGACAGTGATGATTACAGATGAAGATAATGTGCTGAAAATTGCAATGATGACAATCACAAATCAAATTCTAGAGGAACACTATTGTGACTTCTCAGCATTAAGTGCACAAAACGTTTGTATGTGAATGAAGAAAGTGACCGGAATGTAAAATGACTTGTTTATAGAGTGAGAGAAGCAAGCTTACCAATCACATCAACAGTAGTCTTCCCGTTGGAAAACCTTCCAGTCGGTCCACCATTAAAGTCAATCCCATAGGGCAGGTAATCGGCTCTAGCCAAAGATTGCAGCGCATTGTTATTCCCATTATCCACCAGGGAATCCCCAAAAATGAAGTAGCAAGGTACTTGTGGTTCAGCTCCAACCCCATTAAGCAAAGACAGAACCACCACCACAACCACTGTGCTGGTCACACACTGCCTTCTGAGCTCCCCAGCTGCCGCCATTGAAGCAGGAAATGGAGAAGCAAACGGTAGCTAGTAGTGGGAGAAAGATGGGAAGTGATAGTGAGTTAAGTAGGTAGATATGTATGTTGAGTGAGTGAATGAGGTACTTCAAAAACTGTTTATTTATATTAGCAGGTCTTAGCTAGGGCCATCTTTTATTGCTTTTACAGTTGGGAGTGTTTGTTAGGAGCATTAAATGGACGCGGATATAATGTGAGACTATGTGAGGAGAGCAGCGGCACTATCACCTCTTTCATCTAATCTAATGTATTATTGCCATGCCCCGACTTTAATATATATATATATATGTAATTTCCAGTAATGGTATTTATAGGAATTGGAGTATAAAATACAGGACAATTGAGCTCTGTAAATTGCAAAGTGACGTGTCTGTTATAGGCTTTAGCAGCACGGATGTGCTCATGATGCTTAGCCCTGCCACATGAGCACCATCACATTATACTGTCCTGCACTGGGGATGGAAGCAAAATGAGTGGAAGTCATGAAACTTTGTATTTAGTCAAGTAGGGTAAAGTTTGTAAACTGTAATATTGATCCTCAGTAATGTTTGGTTATTTGCTGGCAGGTGGTTTCTGAGTTCGGTTGTTCATTTAACTAATTTCTTCTAATGCTTTCAAAGACAGATAATTTTTGTCAAAACTGAAAAGATCCATTAGAAAACACATTGGCAATATGATAATATGCTAATCACACATGATGATTGCTTGCCCTAAATCAGCCGCTGAAATTAGCAATGTGAAGTTTGAGAGATGACAATGGCAGAATTTATCTTCTGTTCTTTAATAGGTGGCAGGTCAACTTTTACAATGCCAGGCTTAGATTCGGACTAGTGAACAATTATACAACTTAACTTGGTTTTGAATTTTGGACAGAGTTTGTCTATTAAATAGCTGAAAGAAAGAGAAGAAGCCCTGGAAGGAAGGAAGTCAATTCAGGCAATCCATTCATCCGAATTGATCTTTTACGTTTTGCTGCATTTTATGATAATGACTCTGTTGATGGATCTCGTAGTCAATTCCAACCAATTATTATAACTAATTATGGATTGTGTTTTAGCTGGGAATATTTTTCTAATGTTCAGATGTTTGTTTCTTTAACACCCATATCAATTACAACAACTTCTGGCCCAAAAAAAAAAATCACAACAACTAGCCGCCCTATAATGAAGAACTTTTTCAGATAGGAGAGTTTAAAAAAAAAAAAAAAAAAGCATGTTTACCTGTATCATATAGTTCTTCAGTTCAAGATGATACATACCTTTCACTGTCTCATTAAATTGCTTTTAGGGTCGACATAAATGTGTGAAGACACAAACATGTGGAGTTGATAATTAGTACATCATTGGTTTGTAAAATGGGCTACATCTGGCCAGTAATTGGCTTTACTTTCTTCTTCAGAAGAATTCAGGGATAATCTGTACGAACTTCAAATTGCCCATATTTACTTCTTTTTTGCCTGTGTCCATATTTACTTTTTACATGTAGGGAACTATACGTGTCTAGTTAAGAACTTTTTTTTGGGTGACAGTCTAGTTAAAAACTTTTCTATATGCCCATCGGCAGTATTTTTATTTCAGGCAATTTTTTTTTTTCAATACACGTATAAATTGAATTGAATTGCCGTGTTATTTGTTCGCACATGGAAGCACTGGCACTGCGTCGATGCCTCGTAATGAAATCACAATAGTAAACAAATCACGTTTTAATGTATAAGAACATTGTTCATATAATTGGCATGGCATGTCAACTAGACTATAGTTGTTAAGAAGTCTCAAATAATAAATGCAATTAGTGAAAATATACAGTAAGAATGGAGAAACCAAGCCATAGTAGGTCAGAATAATTAATCATTGAAACTTTATCTCACACCTAAATTTTGAATGATATGTATGGTCATATATACCAAATGGTGCGAGTTACGGATTGAGAAATTAAACAACCCGGAGCTTAAATTTGTGTGAGATCATCAGAGATGGAAATTTTCCCTTAATCAAAACTTGATTTCAAGAAAATATTGTAAAAAGTTAAAGTGATATAAATTAAATATGTTTATATAAAGAAAATTCAATAATACCCATAATATATAATGGTGCTCTGCTGTATGGCAAGCAGTGGCAACCTTATTTAACTGTGGATATCATCAATATCGACCACATAATTAACTTGTAACTAAGATAAGGGGTAGAGTCAAGATTTAATTACAAAGGAGCTGTTGGCAAAAAAAAAAATTACAAGGGAGCCGGCTGAAAGTAAAAGGTAAATATAAAATTAAATTTGGCGAGTCATTAATATATAACATCTATATAATATAATATAATACTAAGAAAAAAATTTTAAAAATTGGGGCACAATCTCCCCCCCCCCCCCCCAAAACCCCAACTGGCGGAAAAGATTCAAATTAAATGGGAGGGTCATTTGACTCCCAGAATTGGGATCACCGCTACTTCCTCATTAACAAACCACATAAGAATTTAATTTAGACAAGATTAAGCCTTCGTTTGAATAAGTTTTTTTGTTAATTTTTTAAAAAATCATAATATTGTTTCCTCTCCCTATTCAATGGAGCCTGAATTTAAATATTAGTGAGGTTGCAGGCAACTGGCTATCCCATCTCAAAGTCAAATGTTGGGTGATGAGGTTCACAAGTTACAACAAGGAGATACTTTTATATATTGTCTTGGACCAAGCGCCTTGCGTTGACTTGCGGTTCCTCATTTAGAAAATTACTAGATGAACGTAAATGCTGATCAGAATACACATGCATACAAGCCAGTAAAATTGTTAGGAGTGAAAATTTATTGTGTCTTTGAGGAAGGAAACGGTGTGTGGAAGAAAACCAGCCAACTTTCAACTGTTCATCTTTCATTAAGTTCTTTTAAACGGGTCAGAAGAACCATTAGGTGGTAATTAATCATGGCACCAAACCCACATCACCTTCCTCATCATAATGCTCATTCACTACTTCATCAAACATATTTGGTTTGTTATTTAAATGCATCAAATTGAGATTGGCAACTAGGAGTGGTAGCAAGCCGATCCTCTAGCGGATGTCCAGCGATTTTGAGCTCAAAACAAAGTTGACAGGTAAACAACATTTATAACCTTTTCAGCTAAAGCTTTAGTCGCGTTCTGGCCAACTTCATCTGCAGCATTCACGCCAGCCCACCCAATCCCCATTTATACTTAATTAATTAGCGGTAATCATTTTCCATTTGCATCATGTCAGTATTATATTTTCAACAGTACAAAATGTATTTCACATAATAATCGTTCGTCCTTTATAATAATTGAGCAAAGAGTGAATGAATATCCAGACTCATCATCAATCATGTTTGAGAAGAAAGCGAATGGTAGCTAGAGAGAAAATAATGGGAAGGGAAACGAAGGACCAGAGTTGAATAAAAAGAAAGAGGAAGAATGAGACTTTCATTGATTTATTAGTTTAGTTGTCTTCTGCGACCCCACTTTTCGTTTTTGGGCAAAAACTTTAGGGCAGGAGACTTAGAAGTTAAAGAGTTTACCAAATCATGAAATGATAATAAATGAGAGTAGGTAAGGCAATTTAATGAACAATTTGGGTAAGCCAGAGCAAGTAACATGCTCGGCCTTGTGTTAACATTATTATGGCATTTAAAGCAAAAAGTCTCTTGTTTTTCTATGCATACCCCAACTTGGTCTTCTCCATCATATCAATCGGTGATCGATCATAATCAGCGTGTGCAATTAATTATTTCCACTTACTGATCCATCACATTCAAAACAACATTTTTGATTTTTCACATTCCAAGTTAGCTTCGGGATTTTGAAAAATACACAACCATGTGTGTGTGGGGGGAGAGACCGTCAGCTTGTAACACAAGTCTTTCTTAAACTGTTCTTCAACATGAGGTTATGAATTCGAGCATTATAAAAGATACTATCTCCGGTCCTTAATATAAAAACTAGTTTAATATTCAATTTGATTTTAAATATAAGACTTCAACTACTTTGTCTCTCATATTGATTCATTTTTTCTCAAAGTAATTGCATATGATTAATAATGATATTTTAAAAAAAAACAACACATATTTATTACAAATAACTAATTTAACTAATTCTCCTAATCTACTCAAATTACTTAGGAGGTAGTATTATGATTGCATTAGTTATAACTTATATAATAACGAAAAGACAGTAAAATGCATGCATAAAACTAGGTCTAATGCCATTACGTCTAAAATGTCAAATATACATTTCAAGAATGATGATGTCTTGAGTGAGTGACATGTTATTCACCTTATTCTCTCTCTTTAGTATTCAGATGAAACAAAAAAGAAACAGTGAGAAGTCTGTACTACTACCGTATAATAAAGAGGAAAATGTGGTGTACATTAAAAGAATAAAAAAAACTAATTTAATTAATTACACTATTAATCTCACTCATAGGAGCGAAAAAAAGAGACCCTCTAGCTAGGAGTTGATCACCAAGCATAAATGAACAAGCACTAAAGTTTTGGCGAGTTGGAGTCTACAGACTATAATTTCTTTCCAGATGTCTGAAAGTTGTGAAGAAAATGAAAGTAATAAAATAGAGTTTATTTATCATAACATTATAAGATCCTACTAGATTCTGTTGGGTCTTGTGTTCGAATCCTAGAAAAGATACCTTTGCTCTGTAGGAAAAGGAAGCCACAAACCGCAACCAAATTATCCGGATGATAATATAAAAAATATACGAAACAAGGGTGAAATTTTAACAATAATAAAATTCCTCATACGAAGGGTTGGATATGTCTATCCATGCTTTTAATTTCATCACCCACCATACGCTTGCATTTATGACTCTTTGCTGTTTCAAATTTCAATTGAGCAGTCCAGTGTCCCCCTTTCAAGAATTATTTAGATTAAAAGTAGGCAGTTTCTTTTCCGTTTCAATAATTTTTTCACCTTTTTTTTTTTTGGCTAGAATGATTTTTTCCTTACAGATATAAATTATATACCTTTAAAAGTATAAATTAAGATTAAAAAAAAAGTAGAATTATAATATAAATTTAATCTAAACAAGTCTTCTGCACTCCACCACCGTCAAAACAAATCTAACGTTTTGTTTATCTAATGTAATTAATTGAAGTTCGACTGAAACTGATCGCAATTTGGGCGTCAAGCAAGCTCACATTTTCTCTCTGGCCCGATAAACATGACTTTCATGCCAGAAAGAACACTATGACTCAAGAACAACCTGTTGAAACTGGAGCACCAAAATTTACCAGAGGAGACCTCTAATCCAACGTCATAAACAACTCTAAAAGAGAGGATTTTTTTTAGGCTTTTTGAGCCATCCCTTTTACCATTACGCTGATTAACATATTGTGAAAACAATCAAACAAACGTTAAATGATGATTTATATGTTACAAGAACAAAAATATTACATGAAATTGACTCAAAGACAGTGACTGAGAGTAACAAAGAAGCAGAGCTCAAAACAGAACAAAACCAATGGCAGTGGAGGGAGGGAATGCTGAAAAGCCGCCTGAAAAGAGTGATGTGCTAAAGATCAGAGTGCGTATGGGCATGAGGAGAGGGTGAAGAAGAAAATCTGAGAGCAAAATCCTTGAGAAGCAGAATCAAGCCTTTCAAATCATTGCTTCCCACTTCAAGGCAGTCTCTGAGTAATCCACCCTCCACCACCTCTTTTTGCACTGCCTCCACCACTTCCCCCACCACCCCCTGTCATCCCCATTTCATTTGAAATTATCATTCACCCAATAATAAATCAATTCACACAAATTATAATTATTATTCTTTTAATAACAGCATCAAAAACATGCCTTTTTTAATTTACCTACACTGATGCAGCTCAATATCATATTATTAAAGTTGGCATGAAATTATTATCTAAATTTAATCATCTACCAAAATAAAGAACACAAGCAGATTTTTCAATTGTTCAATAGCCAATTTTTATGGGTTATATTTCTTTCCTACATATAAAATGCATAGTTTATCCTTCGCTAATAATTCCAACAACAAAAAAACTATTTTTTCTTTCTTTCTTCTTTTTTTTTTCCAGAAGATAAATCCCTCTTCAAAAGAAAGAGTGCGAACGAACTGGGCTCGTACCGATTTGCCAAATGCCGTTAGAAGCTTTCCAGAAAGCGACTTGGAAATTCTCACCACATTTTTGTAATTCCGACCGATCCAAGCTGCCCTCGCACCATCCGATTCCAACCAACTCAACTCACTCAACCCCCTCAGCAACTCGTTCATGTCCGAAACGGCGCCGTATAGCTCCCTCATCGGTAAGTCCCTCCACGCCAAGCTCGTCACGTAGTCCCATCCAGTCGACCACACGACCCTCCAGAACCCTAAGCCCAGCCCCCTATCGAGCTTCTCCGCAATGGCTCGGGCTCGCTCAGAGCCAGCGACGTCACCTCGTGCTGCGCGGAGGTTGGCGACACCCGTCATGAGCGAGTGGGCAAGTGATATTAGGTTTCGATACTGGGAATAAGTAGACAGGGATAGGGATGGCGCTGGTGCTACTACGAGCAGAAGAGTGACGAAGAAGAGAAGGGTTGGGGTCGACCCAACGGTTCTTGACATGGATTTGGGGCTTGTGTTAGCCTTTGAAGGTGGAGATTAGTGTAGATTTTTAGAGATCGTCCGAGAGGTGGGTCTTGCGGTGCCGGCGACTACGGTGGCGAGATGTCACGAGCATGTTTCAGGTGGTAGTTACGACAGAGTAACTAATGGGCCGTTCGGCTGTATGGGTGGCCCATCAATAAGAGGCCTGGATTCGAGTCTTATGGGCTTACAAAGCTTCTTTATGAATAATATTTTAAAACAAAATCAAATATGAAATAAAGTCACCATTTTGAATTTGACATCCGCTTGCTCCCGCCGCAGCACCTTTGTCGCCGGCTCAGGCTTCCGATGCGCCACCGCTTGCTTTCTCTTCATTCACCACTGCCTCTTGTAGCGTGTGGGTGTTTCCCAGTTTCAAGTCATCGCCAAGCTCAAATATTTCTTCCATTTGCATTCAACTCCGTTCTCATTCACCGGCAAAACAAGGGCACAACAAAAATTTCCTCTGCTGCAGACTAATTTTTTCTCAATCACTGGTTTAATACACTCTTATTAATGTCCGTGTGAACTTCCCCTTCATACAGGACCCACTGACTTCAATAACCCAAGGAGTCACCTGCCAACAACTCCGGGTGGTTGTACTCTTCATAATCACAATACAGTTATAATTTTGTATTGCGCCCTCTATTATAACCGGAGTTGTATTAGACATTCATTACATATATATATATATTCATCATATTCATGAGCTGATTAGCGGCGGCAACGGTGGTTGCAGCCGCCGTACTACTTTAAGTCCGACGAGGTTTCCAAGTTTTTTTCCCCTTTGGAACACACAGCTGGCAGTTTTTAAATGACATGCCGTTATTAAAAGAGGGGAAAAAAAGGAAAAATTACACTCAGGTCTCACAGAAGATAATTAATTTTAAAAAGTCCCTGAAAATTCTGAAATAATTTCTAAGTCCCCAGAGACTTATGTGTAATTAATTGTAATTGTGAAATTACCTATTTACCCCTATTAAATTTGAACCCAATGTAATTCATTTACAACATCAACAGTGGCTGTTGACAACCCAAGTAGAGGTGGTTAACAACCTCGGCCATGCCCCTGGCATCCTGCAGAGTGAGTTGTCAGGAGCACTACCGAGGTTGTCAACTACTTCTTCTCGAGTTGTCAACAGCCACTGTTGAGGTTGTAAATGAATTGCTGCAATAAAATTAATGGGGGTAAATAAGTAATTTTACAATTATAATTAATTACTCACATGTCTTTGGGGACTTCAGAATCATTTCGGGATTTTCAGGGACTTTTTTAAAATTAATTGTCTTTTATGGGACCTGAATGTAATTTTCTCAAAAAAAAAAAGCTTCCCCGTCAAAAGAGGATAACAGAGTTATTAATGGCTGCTAGTTAGTTTAGGTGGAGTTGATTTATTTTTATTACTCTTCCTGTCTTAAATATAAGACTCTTTTTATAGTATAATTTATACTATAAAGAGATATTATATTTAGGACTGGACGAATAGTTTAAAAGTAAAATTACACCACTTAATACTTTAGAGTGTTCTAAGAGAATATTAGTTCATCATTTTCTAGTATTAATATACTGATTTTTGAGAATGGGTAGCTGTGATTCAACAAACTTTTTTTTCCTGCTAGCCATTGAACAAATTCTAAAATCTTATTTTTAAATATATATAATCTGAAGTAAAAGGCAAATAAAAATAATTCATCATGAGTTAGATAGAGTTAAAATATTTTTAAATTAGATTTAAAAGTTAAATAATACGTAAGAATCAAGATATTCGTGAGCAAAGAGTAAATAGAATCTGATGAGATGGTTCATAAACAAAATCATATATTTTGTTCCATTACAATTTTTTCACGATTTTTATTTGAAATCTAGAAAATACATGGGAAGTTAGAGTAACCGTGATGAGAGCATTTAGGAAATTATCTTACCTGAATTGCATTTATTTGGCTAGCTAGTCGAGTTGATTGAATAGTTCATATTTTTGGTATAAAAATTTTTATAATGTTGTTTATTGAGGAGTTACCATGTTTATTGGGAAATTATGATTGCCGGATGTCATGTTAGGAACTCTACTTTTAGCTAGATATTATCTCCAATACTTAATATAAGAATTAATTGACTAATTCAAATAAATTAAAAAAACTAGTTAAGTCAGTTATTTGAAATAAATAGGTATTGTGTTTTTCAAAATATCTTCACTAATCAAATATATTAGCTAGAACTATAATTATTACAAAGATTACTTTGAGAAAAATAGATAGATATGCATGAGAAACAAAGTGGATTAGAGTCTTATATTTAGGAATAAAATAAAGGGAGAATCCCAATTAAATCCAGCCGAAATACCTAAATTCAGATTTAGGCCTACACTTTTAGCAAATTTCTAATTAGGCCATGAGACCTAATTAGGGATTTTTGAATGTTGTTAAATCACCAAAATGCCCTTCTTCAATTAAAAAGAAAACTGGATTAATATACCTCTCCCGAGTAATTCCTCATCTCTTATGATTTTTTTTAGACCAAAAAACATATAAGTAATTTTACAATGTTTGAAATTTGTATATATATATACTTATACTATTAAAAATATTTTAATAAAACATGTTAAATTACAAATATAAGTAAAATTATAAATATTTTTTATTTTCAGTTTTGTAATTTACATTAGTTTTATTTATTTAAACAACGTTGGATCCAACTGAAAATGTAAATGATTACGATTTAATATTAAATTTTTATTATGATTAAAATATTTTAAAATTTTAAAATAAATATTTACAACCTGAAAAGAAAAAAAATATTAAAAATATTTATATAAAGATTACATATATTATAATTTGAAATGTTTTATGAAAATATTTTGAAGATTTTAGTTATATTACGAAATTTCAAACACTAAAAAATTATTTATATTTTTTTTTCTAAATATTAATAATAAGAGATGATGAACCACTTTAGAGGGATAAAATAATCAATTTTTATTTTTAACTAAAGAGGGGCATTATAGTTACTTAACAATATTCAGCAATTCCTAATTAGGTCTTATGTCCTAATTAAGAATTTGTTAAAAGTGTAGGTCTCAATTTAATTTTAAGTATTTCAGCAGGATTTAATTAGGATTTTCCCTAAAATAAAAGTTAAACAAGCTCTTATAGTAAGGACAGAAGGTAGTAATAGATAGATTAATATATTAATAATTAATGATTAGTGTTTAATAATTATTTGTTGTTCCAAAACAAATTGAAAACAATACTTAATAAAAATTTTATCTGCCACGCTATGTTTAATTGGGGGCTTTCAATTCCTAATTAAGTGAAATAATTATTAATATAATATAATTAATTAATAAATTAATAGCTAAACGGTGCATGTTGATAATCAAATGTGGCAAACGGTTTCTACAACGTCTGTAACAATATATAATAGTATGGATAGATTATTCTTCAACTGTCCTCAAGAAATGCGAAATCCATAACTGCATTTTCATATTCAAGTTCGCATCGAGTGTTCATTCTCATTTGTGATCGATTAGTTGGATATTGATCAGCAAGGTGCGTGCAAACATTCAATTATCATTACACGCTCGTCTTGATAGTCGCCAATGTCGCTCGATAATTGGCTCACACGCCTGTTTTCTATGTTGAAACCAATAAGCAAGATAACTTTCAGTGTTTGGAGAAGATTGTTTCACCCAACTGATTTCTTGCAAATCATAATTCGTAATGGTAATCCCAGTAAGTGTCATTTGAAATGAAATTATGACGACTTAAATGGAGGCTTGACTTTGTGAATTGCAGGCCAAGGATATGCCAGGGAACAGTTTTAACCGCAGTCCTACTCCTACTGCACCCACATCAAGATTAGAAAGGCTTCTGAGGGAAAGAGAGCTCAGGAAGTCCAACAGGCATTCTCAACCAGTTGAGGAGGCAAGAGACAGCAACAAAGATCTTGAACTTCATGGTGATTTGTGTTCGAGCGAGAGTGACATTCGTGAGGAAGAGTTATTTGAAAAGGATGCGGCTGCAAGATTGCCTGAAAGATTTCCAAGACAAGATGAACAGTCGAGTATCAAACAACGCTTATTGGTGGTGGCCAACAGATTGCCTGTGTCTGCTACTAGGAAGGGTGTGGATTCATGGCAACTTGAGATCAGTGTAGGGGGGCTAGTCAGTGCAATTTTAGGCAAGTGCAACCTTGTCATTTTTCTTTTTTTTAGTCTCAATTCTAATTCATTTAGTTTTGAGATATGCTCATTACCTGTTTGTTGTAATCCGGGAGATGTCACAATGGCAACTCTCTTCAGAATTTTTAATAAATGTGCTGTTACTTTAAATTTAATAATCTATTTTATTATATTTATATTATCTTAAAAAGTAGAGGTTATCTTGAGCTTGATATTCATCTTGAATCTTGAAGGTGTAAGGGAATTTGACACTAGGTGGATTGGGTGGGCTGGCTTGAATGTGCCAGATGAAGTTGGGCAGAACTCATTGACTAAAGCTTTAGCTGAAAAGGTTATAAATCTTATTAGCCTATGAACTTTGTTTTGAGTTTAAATTGTTGGCATGTTAATTTATGGTCTCTGATGTTCAAGCTATTTTTCGTTATAAAACACCCACTGTTTATTGCAGAGGTGCATCCCAGTATTTCTTGATGAGGAGCTAGCTCATCAATATTACAACGGTTACTGCAACAACGTCTTATGGCCTCTTTTTCATTACCTTGGACTTCCACAAGAGGACCGACTTGCTACCACTCGTACTTTCCAATCTCAATTTGATGCATACAAGATAGTAAACCAAATGTTTGCTGATGTGGTATATAGGCATTATGAGGAAGGTGATGTCGTCTGGTGCCATGATTACCACCTGATGTTTCTTCCAAAATGTTTAAAAGAACTCGATGAGAAAATGAAAGTTGGCTGGTTTCTCCACACACCGTTTCCTTCCTCAGAAATACATAGGACACTGCCATCCAGAACAGAACTGTTGAGATCTGTACTTGCTGCTGACTTGGTGGGGTAAGTTATTTCATGGATTCACATATTCTGAAACCCATATGAAATTTATTGAGAAACTCATCTGAAAGGATAGAACTTCGTGTTGATTCCAATATATGGACTTCATAAACTGATCTAATGATGGAGAAGAACGTAAAACACCATTATTCCTTTTGCTTCCAATAAAGGAAGGTGCACAGTCCTTTGTATATATTTCTGTGTTATCCTTATCTTTAACAAGCTTCGCTTAATCATTCTATCTTTCACCTGAACGTATCCCACATGATTACCTTTCATCATTTATGCTTTTCTAGTTTTCCTTACCCATATTGTATTATTGGGTAGAATTAGAGTTGTTTCTTAGTCTTTACATTCATAATATGATTCTTATTCATGTGTAAACGGGGGGTGCCTAGTTATCTAAAGTTTGCAATTTAATATGTTCGCTTGGGTACTTCTAGGTTTCATACATATGATTATGCAAGGCATTTTGTTAGTGCCTGCACTAGAATTCTTGGACTTGAGGGTACACCTGAAGGAGTAGAAGATCACGGGAAGCTGATTCGTGTAGCTGCAGTATGTAACTATCAGTACATTTTCTGTATCTTTAATTTCCTGTGCTTGTAACAGCAGAATTGGAATTTTTCGCACATGGCATGATGATCAGCATCAAATGCTGTTATCAATTAATATATTCTCTCTGATTGCCTTCTCGTTTTGGTAATTTTTTACATCTGCGAGTACACAACTTCAGTTTCCTATTGGGATCGACTCTGAAAGATTTATCCGAGCCCTTGAACTCCCCCAAGTCCAGGATCAAATAAATGAACTGAAAGGACGATTTGCAGGCCGAAAGGTAAGAGCTCTACATAACTCCATGTTTAACAGTTTGACAATGACGAGACATAAGCATAAATTTTACAAATTATGTTTAATATTTTATTTACAGTTTCCTATGTTCTTAATTTTTCCATTTAGAGTTTCTTAACAAACGGGATAAACTTCAACCTAGTCCAAGTTTGAAATTTACAAAACAAGAAGGAAACACGTGTACATGGATTTTCATTCTCATGCAAATGAAAGAAGTAATTCCATGAGTGGATGGAATTTTACGGAGTCCAAAGATACGATTTCAACAATATGTGGAAGTGCTAACCCAAATATTTTAATAGCATTTGGTGCTTCCAATCCAGTTTACGCCAGTGTTTTCTTATCTTGTCCAAACTAGTGCAAGAAAAAGTGAAGTATTCCGAGTAGAGCCTGTGAATACGATTCATTGGTTATTCTAGTAGTTTATTTTGATAAAAATAATTTCAAATTTTTTGTTGGGTATTAAATTCATACAGCGCCGGTCTTTTTGCCGAAATAAATAAAGGAGGAAAAGCATAACCCATCCTGAATGTCTTCCCAATAATTACAACCAAATTCGTTTTGTTTTGTTGTGTTGTTTTCGCTTTTTTTTTTTTTAATGAATAGATTCACCCTTGATAAATCTAGTTTACTGGAACCACCATTTATATGTTTTTAAACATATTGACAGGTTATGCTGGGTGTTGATCGCCTTGATATGATAAAAGGAATCCCCCAAAAAATCTTGGCATTCGAGAAGTTCCTTGAGGAGAATCCTGACTGGCGGGATAAAGTAGTCTTGATACAAATTGCTGTTCCTACAAGAACTGATGTTGCTGAATGTATGTTCCTTCTTAAGCATTGGTTTCCTCTTGTAGCATGTTAATGAGTAAATGTATGTGAATATCTTGCCCAGACTTGAACTGTCGTTGATGCTCCAATTTGTCTTTTTTTGGGGGGTGGGTGTGTTATAGAATATCCAAGAGAATTCTAGATTATGCAAACGCCTTTAAATTAACACACAGAATTATAGGAATTAAATTAGCATGATTATAGGAAAAATCACAATGAGGGAATCTTCCTGTGATTAATTCTTGAGGCTCCTGTAGTACATAGATAGGAGCATTCACAAAGAATAAAATATCAAGCAGTTCATTCTCTGTCGCTGTTACATGATCAATTGGCACTTAAGCCATTCTGACAATTCTAATCTGTGAGGTTGATTATTTATGCTCATTTGACTTTGCATGTCCTTCTCTCTCATAAATCATAATTTTGTCAAACTTGTTGCTGTGGCAGACCAAAAGCTTACAAGCCAGGTGCATGAGATTGTTGGACGCATTAATGGGAGATTTGGAACACTCACTGCTGTTCCAATACACCACCTGGTAGGACTTGGAACATTTACGTATTTATTTAGATGTACCTGGGTCCATGTTTTTAGCTTATTTTCCCAATATTTCCTATTTTCAACTTCTACCATTACTTCTTATAATGTCGAGATTTCTGAAGCATGCTATTCTCTGTTTACAGGACCGATCACTTGACTTTCATGCATTATGTGCACTATATGCTGTTACCGGTATTCATTTTCCACTGTGATGCTACTTATCACACGTAGTGCCTATTAATTGATACAAACCGAGCGAAATTATTTTTTGATGAACAAGAAAAATTAGGCTGTTGGGTATTGTTTTGTATTCTGTGCATGAAATCTATTATCAACAACAATAGCATGTTTATGCTTGAATTTCTACAATTCTCCATAATGCATATAGTTGACTCATATTCAACATAATGATAATTAATTTCTGAAAATCTCACATTAAATGCTTAGCGGCATGCTTATTAAGTTATAATGTTTTTGAGGGTTTTGATAAGCTATTCCAGGGTGCCTGAATGTGTTGATTTCTCAGCTTAAGCTTTTCCCTTTCATTTTTTTTTTAAATGAAAGCTCTCTTTATCTCTGTTTCATTTTGATTATATTTATAGTATATGTGTCTCTCACTTCTTCAGATGTAGCACTCATCACATCTTTAAGGGATGGAATGAACCTTGTCAGCTATGAGTATGTTGCTTGCCAGGCTTATAAGAAGGGAGTTCTCATTCTAAGTGAGGTAATGTGCCTTTCCACCAACACACTAGTGATGCAGTAATCAATGGGAAATAATGAATCAAGCAGCTCACTTCTAATCAATTAGGGTCTTTATTCTCCATCATGAATGGTTGGCAACTAGCTATATTAAATTTATTGATTGCATTTACCTATTATGTATGATATTCATGGCAACAATATCTTGCCTTTTATCTCCAAAATTACTACTCTTAACTGAAAAAATATTTATCATGCTAAACGTTCTTGCTCAAGACCAGAAGCTGGATCATATTCAAGAAGTTATATTCTAGAACATTAATGTTTGCCTGCAATTTCACAATTTAAAAAGTAAACATATGCTGAAATCTCAAATTATTTGACTTGTATAAAATAATTCCTGCCATCAGTGGAATGTTTGGCAGAGTTTGGGGTCATTCAAATAAGGTAAGAATCCTTTGTTTGTTGTCAGTTTGCGGGCGCAGCGCAGTCTCTCGGTGCCGGTGCTATCTTGATAAATCCATGGAATATCAACGAGGTTTCTGCCTCTATTGCTTATGCCTTGACCATGCCTGCTGATGAAAGAGAGAAACGTCATCAGTTCAACTTCAAGCATGTGATTACTCACACATCTCGGGAGTGGGCTGCAACATTCGTGAGGTGCATTATTGTTTGATTTTGGGCAATTTATTTTGAAGTGTCATTTATGACTGAAGCAACACCCCAGTTTTGGTTGTTTCCCATAAAGTTTCCAGAAAACCTTCTTGGATACTGCCTGGATTATCCTTCCTTTACTTCATTCCCTCCTCACGTTTTAGAAAACATCCTCCTAGGAAATAGCTAAATGCTCATGATCCTCTCTCTTATGCTTTCAAAGATGCAGCATATGCAAGGAAGAAATTTGTACAAAAGTTCTTTTTTTTTTTTTTTCCAATTATCTTTCTGTTGACTGCATCAATGGTGCATGACCATGCATGAATTTCATACATGTCCATTTGTTACCAATGGTGCTGGAGGATATTATAGTATTTGTTTAATGTTGATTCTCCTTCGGCGAAATCATGGAAAAAGGCTTTGATCTCAAACATAGTTATTATGTTGTCCACGGCACAGTGAGTTTCTTGCATGGCCTCCCAAATGTTGATTATGGTACAGCACAGGACGAAACTTTTAATTTTTGTATTTAGCATTTCATTGGGATTTTGGGATAAGTAGTTGATCGAATTAAAAGACCTTTGAAAAGTCTATAGAAAAATGTAGTGGTTGATTTTGACATTTCATTGGAATTATGATAATTTGATAAGTTTCAATATATTTCTGAAGTTATTACATGACCTTGTACATTATTAAGTGCCAATTATTATAAAGTCGGGTTCTCTTTTGATGCAGCGAACTGAATGACACTATTGTTGAAGCTCAGCTTAGGACAAGACAAGTTCCACCCCCACTTCCTAATGAAGCTGCAGTTGATCGTTACTCAAAATCCAATAATCGATTAATCATTCTGGTAATGGACAGTCCTTTGCTAGAAATTTCAGAGGACACATTTGAATTTGATACAGTATCTTTTCTTCAAGTGCATCACACTTTAATTGATTCGATTGGTAGCATGATGCTGAAGCTGCAGTTTCTAGTCACTATCACTTTATCACATTGCCATCGCTCCGTTACAGGGTTTCAATGCCACTTTAACTGAACCAGTGGATGCCCTTGGGAGTGGCGGCCAAATTAAAGAAATGGAGCTTAAATTGCACCCAAATGTAAGAGATCCTTTAAAGAAGTTGTCTGATGATCCGAAGACAACAATAGTTGTCCTCAGTGGGAGTGATCGAGGCGTCCTGGACAAAGTACTCTAGTAAAAATTTCGTCTGTTCATTATTGGATTCTTAGAAGAGTTGCCTTTTCACTTGGATATTCTTTATGCAGAACTTCAGCGAATTCAACATGTGGCTGGCAGCAGAAAATGGGATGTTTTTACGTCTTACTTCTGGTGAATGGATGACAACCATGCCTGAAAATTTAAACATGGATTGGGCTGATAGTGTGAAGGTCAGTGCATTACAGCAACAAGACTGATTCTTATGTTTAGAGTTGACATTATTTTCCTCTGTTTTTAATAGAACTGAGTAAAATTTCAGCAAGTTTTTGAGTACTTCACTGAAAGAACTCCTCGATCTCATTTTGAGCTGCGTGAGACTTCAGTTGTATGGAATTACAAGTATTCAGGTACGTGACAATCTTTTCTTTTCAACCAACGTGTTCCACCACCAGGGCTATGCCCCAAAAAATTCAGTTGCCGATTTATCTTAATCATGCCACTAGATGTTGAGTTTGGAAGACTTCAAGCCAGAGATCTACTGCAGCATCTTTGGACAGGCCCAATATCAAATGCATCACTTGATGTTGTCCAAGGTGGTAGATCTGTTGAGGTTCGAGCAGTCGGTGTCTCAAAGGTCGCAAGTGATCTCAGTTGTACACTGAGCCTCTCCCCTGGATTATTTCATGCGCTTGCTAGAAAAACTTGATCTTCACTTCCCGATTTGCTAACTAGTATTTACATGTCCATACAGGGAGCAGCAATTGATCGGATTCTGGGAGAGATAATTCACCAGAAGGGCATGAAGGCACCTATTGATTATGTTCTCTGTGTTGGACACTTTCTGCCAAAGGTGTTCGTTCTCTCTACTACTTGACTCTTTTTTTTTAATTATTTGTGATCTTGCATTGTCTGAAACTCATAAATTGCAATGCTCAATGCACTTCTGTAACATGTCCCACAATTCGTAAATAGACTATGTTGAAATAAAATTGGCCACACAATTAGTCCTTGTTTGATATCTGAACAGGTAAATTCATGTAACCAAGTTTAAGAACTCGTAAAGAGAGACGTGCATACTGTTTCAGGATGAAGATGTGTACACATTTTTTGAGCCAGAGCTTCCCTCTGAGTCACCAACAATAGCAAGAGCTATGCTATCCAGCTCTAACAAGCCATCTCTGCCAAAATTCCATGGATCAAGCAAGTGTGGCTCCAAGGCAGCTCGACTCAAGAAGCAACGATCCATGTCGACTTTAGAAAGGAGAAAAATGGATCAAGCAATTGGGATTCCATTGCAGCCAACATATCGTGATAGAGTATCATTGCAGGAGGGTTCTTCGGTGCTTGATCTCAAAGGTGATAATTACTTCTCCTGTACTGTTTCGCGAAAGAGATCAAGCGCACGATATCTTCTTAAAACATCAGATAGTGTCGTCGAACTGTTGAAGGAGCTGGCGGATCAACTTGAATGATATGCATCGATCCTCATGATTCTTCTCGACAATATAATTTGAATGTCTGAGATGAGAGTTGTTTAGAAGGTCTGATATGAAATTAGATTTAGTGTTAACATTGCCAACTAAAAGTGTAGGCTGACCCATGTTTTTACGGAGAAACCTCTGATCTAACACATACCCATTGTTTCAGAAGAAATCAATCTTTTTCTTCTTCAGATATGTTGCGTCTTTTAATTTCTCTATGAGAATCTTTTGGTGTTGAGATAAACAAATTTGTTTGCTTTTTATGCCCAGCCAAGTTTGATCTTAATGAAGAGTCTAATCTCTGATCTTGATGAAAGCTTCAACGCGTGAGCTAGCTCAGCTTTTTCTCTCGTCAAAATCTTCCACCGTACCTATCAAGTAAGGCTGAGCATGATCAAAATTGACATGTCAGTTTGACATAATGAATTATATGACGTATTTACATTATGATTTTAAAAAATTTTAAGTTAAATAGATTAAATTTTAAAGCTCAAACTATGTAAATTTGAAGAAAGTATGCAAATTACATTATCCAATAAGAGTTTGCGATCATTATCAATGAACATTAGTATGTGATGGCTTTTTAGTTTTTTTTATTTCTCTTCCACACCCCCCCCAAACCCCAAAAAATAAGATCACGCTAATTTTATTATATGTTGTTATCATACAAAATAATGTAAAACAAAATCAAAGGATTTATAACTATAATCTCTTATATCAAGAATAATTATGTTATATGAAAATAATAAATTGAAAATTTTTATATGCTATAGAAATATAAAACAAAATTTGTATTATATTATTATAATTAAAATAAGATAATTATATTGATTATGAATAGATTGACGTATAGAAGGATAGTTGGGATAGTAGTTATTAAACAGATTCTAATGTATCCCGTGGTAGAGAACATTTAGAGCGGTAATTGACTGATTTGACATAGATTGTAATTAAATATATTATATATTGAATTAATGTGATTAAAATGAGATGGGAACGAGTGCTGTACTGATCAAGTGACTATGATTATCCATTATCCGTCAACGTAATAAAAAATAAATTCAAATCAGATTCATAAACACACACACACACACAAATTGCAGAAGAGAATATTTTATACAGTTGAAAACAACAGCATCAGTTATGATTTTATTTGATATTTTAATCTTAATGATATTAAAAAACTAAAAAAAAAATCCAAATGTGTAATCGTAAATATAATGTTAAAAAAAAGGCAAAAAATAGTCACATGAACTTTTATACTTGTTCTATACTTTTTTTAATTAAATCAAAAGATGGTGATTTTTTTTTTTACGAATTATTTACTTTATAACTAAGTCGTCTCTAAAAATTCGTATAAGATTATTATTATTAATATATTATAAGACTTATAATCATATCATAATCAAACATATATTGTGACTTATGAATTCAAAATATCTTTTATTTTATTGTGCCACCTGAACCTTTTTTTTTTTTTTTTTTGTTCCGCGCACACTATATATCCAGACCGTCGTGATGAAAAGAGCCTTTGGTAACTAACCTATAAGCAATAATGGCGACAAAGAGGATTTTAACGGTATTTTTGCTGCTGTTATTCTGTTCCCCCCTCGCTTTCTGCCTCGGCAACAACAAGAAGAAGGTGATCGACCATTCATTCCTTGTTGGTGTAGTTATTGGTCTGAGTGCAACACGAAATCACTTGAATTAATGAATAGTTTTTGTTGGCACAGAATTACATAGTGGACTTCGGAGAGCACCATAAAGATGTGCCTCTTGATCAAATGGAGCACATTCATCGTTTGTATCTGCGTCTTCTCAAAGACACCGACGAGGAAGCCGAAGCTTCTCATATTTACAGTTACAAGCACAGCTTCAATGGCCTCGCCGCTGCTCTCACCCCGGAAGAAGCCTCCAGACTAGCCAGTAATTAATTAATTGCTTATTGTCATCTACTTAATTAATGATGTGTTACAACTATATATTGATTAATGAATTGGGACAGGAATGAAGGGAGTGGTGTCTGTGAGAGAAAGCAAGGCAAGGAAGCCCTACTCTCTGCATACCACAAGGTCATGGAGCTTCATGGATTTGAAGCAGCCTTTGAATAATCACAATCACGGCCTCTTATCCAGAGCTAACTATGGCCAAGATGTTATAGTTGGCATATTTGACACTGGTACGTTCTGTGTTAGTTATTACGATTTTATATATATCTATCATCAGTTTAATTTGAGCTGCTCGCACATCTATATATACACACACCAAATGTTTGTGTTGTTGATATAGGAGTGTGGCCTGAATCAAAGAGCTTCAGCGATGAAGGCATGAAACCTGTTCCTGCCAGATGGAAAGGAATCTGCCAAAATGGAACTGCTTTCAACTCATCCACCTGTAATCGGTATTAATTATATGTTCTGGATAATTTGTTTGAATCCAAAAATTTTACGTTATATATATATATATATGGTCAGCATAAATATTGTCAAAAATTTTAAAGACACTTAAGCAAGCAGTGTTTGGATTATTATATGCAGAAAGATAATCGGAGCTCGGTATTACCTCAATGGATATCAAGGCGCATTTGGTCCTCTAGACGAATCCCAAGACATCAAATCTGCTCGTGACAAAGACGGCCACGGCACTCACCTGGCCTCTATCATCGCCGGACGCACGGTTCCCAACGTCACAGGGTATGGCGGGTTCGCCGGCGGCACCGCGTCGGGTGGCGCCCCACTGGCCCGCCTTGCCATCTATAAGGTATGCTGGGTTTGGCCAGGCAGTTCTTATGAGTCAGGGAATTACTGCGACGACTTAGACATAACCAAGGCTTTCGACGATGCCATCGGAGACGGCGTCGACGTTATAAGCTTCTCCTTTGGTTTCGATGTTGCCCAGACTTTTGTACGCGACAAGAGCGCAATCGGATCGTTGCACGCATTGAAGAAGAACATCGTGGTGGTTTCTAGTGCTGGCAATACTGGACCTGATCATCAAACTTTGACCAACGTTGCTCCTTGGCTCATCACGGTCGGTGCTAGTCACATTGATCGTACGTTCCCTGCTCCTCTTCTTCTTGCCGATGGCACAAAAGTTCAGGTGACTTGTCACAGTTTTTTTTAATTTCTATATGCCTTCTGTTCAAAACTCTTATATCAATCAGTGTTATATGTATTAATTATCAGGGACAATCAATCACTCCAGTGCAAATGGACAACAACTTCCACAGCTTGGTGTTGGCGAGCGATGTTGAGAAACCAACGACTTCTAAAACAGATTCAGGGTGATTCTCCAAACCTAATTGAACACTGATGATTGTGTAGATTTGGTTATGATGAAATTGAACGGATTAATCGAATAGAGACAAATATGCAGGTATTGTCTGGACGGCAGCCTTGAGGCAGAGAAGGTGAAAGGGAAGATAGTGCTGTGTCTTAGGGGGAAAGGCACTCCATTACACCAAGGTCTGGAAGTTCGGAACAATGGTGGGGTTGGTTTCATTCTTGGGAATGATCCTGATCATGGCAATGATATTGCCTGTGAGTCCAACCAAATCCCATCCACTGGTGTTACTTTTGAAGATACCAAAAAACTTATCCATTACATAAGAACAACCAAGGACGCTAAGGCTCGTATTCTTCCTGGGCAAACAACCTTAAACTCTAAACCAGCACCCACCGTCACTTCCTTCTCTGGTAGGGGTCCAAATCCCATTGACCCCAACTTTATCAAGGTAACTTCTTCTTGTCCATACGCATGTGTGCAATGTTGTGAATAACCTCGTACGTGGCCGTTGACTTTGTTGGTTGTGATTTGTGATGATTGCAGCCTGACATAATAGCTCCAGGAAGCCAGATATTGGGAGCGTGGACAGAAAAGGATGGGCCCACAAGGAACAGTAAGGGCGGTGATCGGAGAAAGACAGAGTACAATATAATGTCTGGAACTTCAGTGGCTACTCCTCACGTTGCTGCCGCGGCAGTTCTTCTCAAAGCCATTCACCCTACTTGGAGTGCGGCTGCTGTTAAATCTGCCCTCATGACCACTGGTACTAACTTCAAATCATCCCACCAATTACTCTCTAAACTTCAGACCATACCCCATTAAATCCATCTCCAAGAATTAATAAGCTTTATATGTATTTATTCATGAGTTAGTTTTTGGTATTAGATTGACATGTTGATATTAACTGGTTTTGTCACAGCCTCCACGACAGACAACACAGGAAATCCTATGATGGATCAAAGTGGAAAACCTGCGACGCCATTGGCAATGGGATCGGGCCACCTACAACCCGTGAAAGCAGCAGATCCTGGACTGGTTTATAATAGCTCTTACGAGGATTACGTTCTTTATACTTGTGGCCTTGGACAAACACACGCCATGAATATGCCGTATAAATGTCCAGTTTCAGTGCCCGAACCAGTCAACCTCAACTATCCATCCATACAAATCCACAAGCTCAATGGAACCAAGACCTTTACCAGAAGAGTCACTAACGTCGGACGCAGCAATTCTACTTACACTTTTAATTCTGAGTCACCGAAGGAATATACAATCACTGCCTCTCCAGATGTTCTCAAGTTTGATCATGTTGGTCAGGAATTGAGCTTCAACATCACTATCACAGTTGTTAGTTGGAATTACCCCACCAAGTATGATCCAGATTTTTACTATTTTGGATCCTATACTTGGACTGATAAAGAGTTCGTTGTGAGAAGCCCTGTCGCTGTGTCTTTCCCATAAAGTCTTTATCTTTTCGTATATTATATTTTATTAGGAGTCTTTTTCTAGCTATTTGATGTTTTTGATTTAATGCCTCTGAATTGGTAGAGGTATGCTATTCAGAACGATGATTGTACTACTATATCACTGACGTTAAATTTTTTAGTTGTTATAAGACGTTTTTTGTCTTCGAAATTCAGTTAAAACGTTAGTAAATACTGTTTAATAATACAGTAAATATACCATTGAGTTGTCTTTATTAAAAATTTTAATAATAAAGATGCAGTAGCATAGAATAGTTTTTTTTTTTTTTTTTTTTTGCTCATTTAGAAGTTGAAGTTTATATATCTCTTTCCTCAACTCTATGTCAGTCAACTCAAGAAGATGACAAAAGCCTGAGAGAGGTTGTGGTTAGGCTTCCAACTTCCAAGGTGAAATAACCACCATTTAATTATAAGTCTATACAATCAACAAGCCAATGAAGAACGTGCGCAAGGCAGACTGCCCCCAATGAACTGACATAAATGAAGAGGCAACATTCAATAAGTATGCTTCCAAACGATGAACTGAAGATGAACGTTAGAAGTTAAGCATGCTTAAACATCTTCATGCTCAGCCAATGGAAGTATACCGTAACAACTACTACAGGCAGAGTCAATGGCACCAAGAAGCAGTGATACCTATAAAAAGCCGCATACAGATCAGGAAAAAGGGATATACGATCGAAATTAGGAAAACAAATCAAAAGTAATTTAGCACCACTAAAGATAACCATTTCACTAGTTGAAAATATTGCCCCTGCAACAGGAGTCAGAGCATTCATGTCACAAATCAAATACGCTAAAAAAATCTACACTGTATAAAACTGGTGATCGAGGAATTTGCAAACAAAACACTAGATAATAAGAGGCTTCTCTTCACAATTTGAGGACTAATTTGTTTTGATGTTTACTTGACTGTAATTCTGTAGACTAGCTGTTTAATTGACTGTAATTCTGTAGACTAGCTGTCTTCCATTAGTGAACTTTGCTCAGAATGAATTATGGAAATGCTTGATTCGGCGTTGATGAAACCAACTAGATCCTAATATTTCAATAGGCCATTTATACGGGATGGTAATAGTAGCACTAGCGATTTTAAAGAAAAATAACTGCATCAGTCATGGTCGGACAAGCAGAGACTAGTAAGTTATTTGCATCAAATGATGAACAAGAATCCTAGGTAGATCCCTTTAATACATTATAAGCATAAGGGACTAGCTTCCCGCTATGACCTGGTCATTCCACTATACCCAGCATGGGTAAGGCTGATAAAGCAGGGCAGTAGTGTTACTAGTGCATTGGACATGAAGCTAAACGACCTCAGTCCCAACCAGCTATGCTCAAGGCACACAATCCCCAGGGCGGGAAGGAACTTCTACACTGATGAGCTCGTTTCTAACAGGGAAAAGGTTACAGAACTCTCCTGATATACTTTTACAACTTGGTTTTCTCTAAAAATACACACCATGAATACCTCTATATTTTTGCCCCAGAGCTGACTGCTTGAAATCTTAAGCATTTGCTTCCTGAGCCCTCAAAGCTAAATTAAAATGTAAGATCCCGATGCTAGATTTAACAAAACATTTTCTAAGTTATTTCCCGAATTGACCCACGTCCTGACATCTACATGCTCATAATGGCAAGGCTAAAACTTAAACCAAGTTATTTCCCATACCCAATATGTTAGTATATGACAATCTGTATCAATGTGAACCAGAGATAGAGATAGTCAAACTTGTCACCTGGTAGCATGCATAATAAAACTGCACATCTAACACTCTGACAGTACATTAAGTAAAATAATAAAAAGTCAAGTATGGAACATAATTCAATGCTGAGGTCCCATGATTTATTCATGTATAGTCCCTCTATAATTCACCAAATCAGACATAAAGTAGATAATTAAGTAGGACCTTCATTTTTTTGAATATTTACATTATAATTGATTACCAGTCATTTTGCAAGGCAGATATTATCGCTATATTTGAAGGCGGGAGAAGCTTGGAAATAATTGCAGCAAAGAAGTACCCAGCAAAGGATAAAGAGCCAAGGGATATGAAAATGCATCCCCAAAATGTACTCCCTTTAGATGAAATCATTCGACGGGACCTCCAAGAAGGGTAGCTCACGGTCTAGGAAGATTATGCCAATCTCGAGCAAAACCAATGCCCGAAAAAAAAATTAAATTAGAAGGGAAAATTTTAGAGATATGATTCGTCAGCTTAGCAACTAGCAAAAGACACCATTTTCAATCCTACAAAGGAATTTGGAAAATATATCAGCTTCGACACGGCTAATTTTATCACCAAGATAAAAGTGGGAACCAAGAAAGTACCGTGTGAAGCAATTTGGTTGATATAGGCAGACGAAATCAAATATCAGCAAGAAAGAACGAAATTAGGATCTCCTATACTCCGCAGGCAGGGGGGTCTAGTGGGGAGAAAAGAATGCAGACCGCGACTTCGCAGACCCAAGACAACGGCTGAAGCATATGCACAGCAATTAATCCTAGAGGCAAAACGCACCGTTGCGTTTGCTTTTTCTCTCTTTTTTTTTGGGGGGGGGGTATTTTCCTTTTTCTGTATTTTACATGTTTCTTAAGCCTCCCCACACAGTATTGTTTTGGCCCAAAAAAAACACACAATATTATTTTGGCCAAAAAACACACACAATATTATTGTGTTTAGTTTGGCGTGCTTAATTAGAAAAAGGGGGTCTCTCTACTTTTCTTTTTCTCTATTTCTATCCACTTCTAATTCCAACCATAAAATTAAAATTTTAATGTTCTAGATTTCATATTTTATAAAAGTATAAATAAAATGTTAAGTTTTTGGAAAATGAAAAAAAAACTAAATTACTAAATTTTAGTCAGAATAATTCAAGACAATAATAAAAGTATTTTTAAAAATATAAAATCTGTACCATTAAAATTTTAGTCTTAAATGGTTCAGTGATTCCTTCAAAATTAAAACTGTGCCGGAAAAAAAAAAAGCTACTCAATCTTTGTAGGAAAATAAAAGCTAAGAATTGACAATTTTGAATTTTTCATAATGCGCACGGTAATTTTTGAAGATGCATGTACATGTAGATAATACTACTTCTAATCCTAATTATAATACCTCATTTTATAAACTATAAATAGGATCTTATAATTAGGACCAGAAGTAATATTAAAATTGCATGTCATATAGCGTGCTTTTATAAGTTTCAGTATTTTTCTTCATTTGTATCTGTATTTTTTTAATAATTCGGTGCGAATTAATGCTCTCGTATTACTAGAGTAAAATCATTATTTGAGGTCCGAACGTGACCAAAACTGAACATGACAACAGGAGAAGTGAGGGTGAAAAAAACGAAAAAGAGAGCATCAATGAAACAGAATATTTCAACCATTTCAAAAGCATACACCAATTTATATTTGAAGTTATAGTTCATTTTGCAGCAAATCAATGAACAATACAATAAGGTATTTGAAGTGAGAGGCCTGTGACAGCATATACTCCATCCTGATACCTGTCCTTGTTATAAAACAACTTTTAAGCAATAGATAATTCTTATTATGTGTCACTGAAGCAGGGTATTATATATATATATATATATATCTATAATATCACCTCTTAACATTTCATTAATTGCAATGACTTCTTATATATAATCCATGATCTTGAATATGAGTAAATTTGAAGGTTTTAATGACTAGATCATTTCTGCTCGGTTTTTATGAGATAGTTAGAAATGTTCCCGCACACATATACATATAGAAGTAGAACCGGTACCAGACATAGAATTGGCATGTATATATCTCCTACACCTCTGTCTCTCTGTCTTCTTTTCCATGGAAGCTATACTCCTCCAGTCTTTAATATTATCTCTGGTCCTAATTATAAAATCTCATTAGTTGTCTACGAACAAGGTCATATGATTAGGAACAAATGTAGTGTAAGACTTAATTGTTGATCTTAATCTTAAATATAAAAGACATTTTTCATATTAATTATTTTTTTAAAATTATCCTTGTTAATATTCTATTAACTTAAGAGAGAGATGAAGAATATCAAGGAAGATGATTGCGGTATTTTAAGAAAAAAGATGTCATATTCTTATAAATAACAACTTACCTAACTTTTTAATCTAATCATATTAATTAAATAGGTTCTGGACATGCTTCATGTGGGAATTTTTTGTCACTGTGAAGAGGGGGTCATAGGATTCTGTTGAAGGGACCATTATTATTAGGTTAGGCTTCGCCTGACTTCAAAATATAATTCAAAGCCCCAGGCCCCTTCTTCTTTATTGCCATTGGTCGCTGCACTTTAATGCGCCACCATCCTACTTCATTCAAAACAGCACATTCAACTTGTGCTGCGTCTCCATGAAGCTGCATAAACATATACTATCTTGCAATTTCTCGGGAAGTTCAGTTTGGAATACATATATATATCCAAGTAGTGTTTTTTTTTTAAAAAAAAAACCAGCATATCCAAGTAGTTAATCCATATACATTTACGGATCTTGTATATTATATCCAAGTAGTTTTGTTGATACCAGTTCATTAATGTTGGCAATCAGAAAGGAGGAATTGGAGATTGCGATGTGCATCGATACGATATACCATGTTAGGAACTTGTAATCTGAACAACACCAAACACTTCTTTTAAAGGTTTCTTAAGCGTGGAGTCGTGATGGGTTCAATGGCTGTCCAAAAGGTATAATGGACGTGTGTGAATTATAAGAAAAGATGAAAAATATCAATACAATATAGTAGGCCACAGTTTCTGTGAAACGCAATGAAGGAAGGATGGGAACCTAGAAAGCATAAATCCACTGAATTGGACGATGTAGGAATGAATGATAATAATAGTTGAGAGAGAAGAAAAGAAGAGATAAGTTAAAGATCGCTTTCATCATTTAAAACAAGTAAGAAGGTACACAAATTAAAACTCTGGCACAGGGCCATTAGGCCTTCCCCATGTAGTTATT